AGGCCGACCTCAAGAAACAAGAAAAGTCTCAAATAAGAAAGCCAACTTTACACCTCAAGGAAAGAGAAAAAGAACAAATGAAGCCCGAAGTTAGTAGGAAGAAGTAAGTAACAGATCAGAATAGAAATAAAGGAAATACAGACTAAAATGTCAATAGAAGGATCAACAAAAGTAATAACTGGTTCTTTGAAAAGAACAAAGCTGACAAATGTTCAGCTACACTCAAGGTTAAAAAAAAAGAATGAGGACTCAGAAATGAAAGAGATGTTCCCACTGATATTATAGACATACAAAGTATTTTAAGAGACTACTATGAACAATTACACCCCAACAAGTTGGACAATCTAGAAGGATAAATTCTCAGAAACATACAACCCTCCAAGACTGAATCATGAAGAAACCAATTCTGAACAGACTAATTACCAGTAAGGACATTAAATGAGTAATCAAAAACCTCTCAAGCAGCAGAATCCAGGACCAGATGGCTTCTCTGGTGAATTCTACCAAATATTCAAAGAATAATGAATACCAATTCTTCTCAAAATTTCCCATAACTAACTAACTAACTAACTGGAGGAAGGAATGCTTCCCAACACATTTTATGGGGCCAGCACTGCCCGTATCAAAGCCAGCCAAGATCCAGAAGAAAAGAAAATTACAGACCAATATCTGTGATGAACACATATACAAAAATCCTCAACAAAATGTCAGCAAACCAAATTCAACAATACAGTAAGAGAATCATATGCTATGATCAAGTAAGGTTTATTTCAAGGATATAAGGGTGGTTCAACATTCACAAATCAACCAAAGTAATATACCACCTTAGCAAATGAAGGATAAAAATAGTATGATCATCTCAACAGATGCAAAAAAGCATTTGACAAAATTCAATACCCATTTTGAGGGGCGCCTGGGTGGCTGTCAGTTAAGCTTCTGCCTTCAGCTAGGGTCATGATCCCAGGGTCCTGGGATCCCGCTCTGCTGAGCAGGGAGCCTGCTTCTCCCTCTCTTTCTGCTGCTTCCCCTGCTTGTGCTCATACATTCATGTTCTCTTTCTCTAATAAATAAAATCTTAAAAAAAAAAAACACACCCATTTTGATAATAGCTCACAACAAAGCAGGTATACACAGAATGTAACTCCAGATAATAAAAGCCATATATAACAAGCCATGTCATATTCAATGATGAAAGCTGAGTTTTTCCTCTAAGATGAGGAACAAGGCAAGGATGCCCAGTCTTGTCATTTTTTGCAACATATAGTTGGCCCTTGAATGACAGGGAGAGGGAGTGCCAAATCTCTGTGCAGATGAAAAACTGAGTATAACTTCTGACTCCCCCAAAACTTAACTATTAATAGCTTACAGTTGACTGGAAGTCCTATCAATAACATAAACAATTGATCAACACATATTTTGTATGCTATATACTACATACTGTATTCATAAACAAAAATACTAAGAAAATCCTAATGGAGGGCAGCCTGGGTGGCTCAGCGGTTTAGTGCCACCTTCAGCCCAGGGCGTGACCCTGGAGACCCGGGATCGAGTCCCACATCGGGGTCCCTGCGTGGAGCCTGCTTCTCCCTCTGCCTGTGTCTCTGCCTCTCTTTCTCTCTCTGTGTCTCTCATGAATAAATAAAATCTTTAAAAAAAAAAAAAAAGACACACAGATCAACACAGCAGAAGAGACTGCCCAGAAGTAATAAACCCACACGTATACAGTCCAGTACCTTATGGCAAAGGAGCCAAGAATATACAAGGGGGAAGGAACAGTCTCCTTAATAAATGGTGTTGGGAAAACCAGACAGTTATATGCAAAGAATGAAACTGCACCACTATCTTATACCTTACACAAAAATTAACTGAAAATGGATTAAAGAATTGAATTTAAGACTTGAAACCATAAAACTCTTCACAGAAGACATAGGGGAAAAGCTGCTTGACATAGATCCTGCCAGTCATTTTTTTGGATCAGACTCCAAAAGCAAAGGCAACAAAAGCAAAAATAAATAAGTGAAACTACATCAAACTAAAAAGCTTCTGCCCAGCAAAGAAAATCACCAAGAAAATAAATAGGCAACCTACTGCCTGGGAGATAAGATTTAAAAATCCTATGATAAAAGGTCAATAGCCAATATATATAAAGAACTCATACAACTCAATTAAAAAAAAAAACAAACAAACAATGTGATTAGAAAGTGAAAGATTAACCAAATGGGCATTTATCCAGAGAAGACATACAGAGAGCCAATAGGAACATTAAAAGATGCTTAAAATCATTAATCATCAGGGAAATGCCAATCAAAACAACGAGATATCACTTCACACTTGTTAGAAGGGCTAATATCAAGAAGATGAGAAATAATAAACATTTGCAAGGATGTGGAAACAAGGGAACCCTGGCGCACTGTTGGTGGGAATGTAAGTAGGTGCAATACTGTGTGTTCCTCAAAAAGTTAAAAATAGAACTATCATACAATCCAGCAATTTCTCTTCTGGCTATTCATCCAGAGAAAACAAAAGCTCTATTTGAAAAGATATATGAACCCTCATGTCCACTGCAGCATTATTTACAATAGCTAAAATATGAAGACAACCTAGGTGTCCATGGAGGGATGAATCAGAAGATGCGGTGTATCTATATAAAATGAAATACCATTCAGCCCTAATAAAGAATGAAATCTTTTCATTTGCAAAAATGTGGATGGATTCTGAGGGCATGAGGCTAAATGAAATAAGTCAAAGACAAATATGGTATGATATCACTTAAAAAAATGTTAAAGATTATTTCAAAGAGAGAGAGGGGGGATCCCTGGGTGGCTCAGCAGTTGAACGTCTGCCTTCGGCCCAGGGCATGATCCTGGAGTCCCGGGATCGAGTCCCACGTTGGGCTCCCTGCATGGAGCCTGCGTCTCCCTCTACCTGTGTCTGTGCCTCTCTCTCTCTCTCTCTCTCTTTCATGAATAAATAAATAAAATCTTTTAAAAAAAGAGAGAAAGAGCAGTGGGGAGGGACAGAGGGAGAAAGAGAAACAGAGTCCCTGCAGATCAGGGAGCCCCACACGGGGCTCAATCCCAGGATTCTGAGACCATGACTTGAGCTGAAGGCAGATGCTTAAAGGTGTGACTAAAACACCAGAAAAACTGAGCTCAAAGATACAATGAACAGATTGGTGGCTGATGAGCGTGGGGGGATGAGTGTGAAAGGGGTGACAAGGGCCAAAGGCTACCAACTTACAAATGTAAGTCATGGGGATGTAACTTATAGCACGGTGACTACAGTTAGTAACACTACTGCAAACTTAGAAGTTGCTAAGAGACTTCCCATCTCAAAAGTTCCCACCGTAACAAAAAGATTTTTTTGGAAAATAAAACTGGATTTAAATAGAGAAGCAACACACTATTATTGTTCAGGGTACTCAGAAAGTACACAGAACTTCAAAAATCTGCACAGGAGGCGGCCCTCACGCGCTTCACAGAGGACAAAGGAGCGCTCTGATGTACTAGGAGTGCTTTGAAAACTGGTGAGTGGGGCAGCCCGGGTGGCTCAGCGGTTTAGCGCCGCCTTCGGCCCATGGCCTGATCCTGGGGGCCCAGGATCCAGTCCCACGTGGGGCTCCCTGCAGGGAGCCTGCTTCTCCCTCTGTGTCTCTGACACTCTCTCTCTGTGTGTGTCTCATGAACAAACAAATAAAAAAAATCTTAAAAAAGAAAACTGGTGAGTGCCTGCACAGAACAGCAGGCACTGGATCACAGTGGTGCAGGAAGAAGCAGGGAGGTCCAGCAGATCCTGAGGAAGTTGAGGGGGAATAACAGTGCAGGGTGTATGGAAAGTGCCTGATGAGGTTTCCAAATCCCTGGGCCTGTTCCATCTCATCTCATAGGTGTCTTCTGAGATCCTCCAAAAAGTCGCTGCTGCTGGTTACTCAGGCTCCCAGTCAGCAAGGCAGCCAACTTCTTTTATTTGGTGGTAACCTCCTAGTAATCTATGTCTCTTGACCCTAAGTCTAGGGGAGAGGATCACACAAAATTGGCCTGATTTCTCTCAGGTGGGATGGTCCTTCAGCTGCTGATGAGAATCACTAACAAAAGCTGTTAATGCTGGGCAGCCCGGGTGGCTCAGCGGTTAATCACCCGCCTTCCGCCCAGGGCCTGATCCTGGGGACCCGGGATCGGGGCGAGTCCCACGTCGGCTCCCTGCAGGGAGCCTGCTTCTCCCTCTGCCTGTGTCTCTCATGAATAAATAAATAAAATCTTTAAAAGAAAAAGCTGTTAACTGCAAGTGAATCAAGACAACAGTAGTAACAAAAACAGGGGACATTTATTTCTCTGTGCTAGGCGGTGCTCTAAGCCCTAGGGCGCAGAGCAAAGCATGGAGGTGCGAGGGTCTGGGATAAGCCCCAACAATGGAGAGCTTTGAAGCCCCGAGGACAAGGCCTGGAGATCTGGCCCCAAGCCTGAGCCTATCAGGTTCCTAGCGGTCCGTCCGGGACACTCAAACTGATGATGGCACGTGTAGAACGCTTAGGCCAGTGGCGGGCACACAGGAGCTCCTCAAGCGCCTGGCGGTGATGGCCGCGAGGCTGGCGATCACGTTGGTGTTTGTTGCTGCCCTAGCGCTAGCAATACCGATAACCAATACTGCGACAGGATCAATACCAAGCGCCGGGGCTGCGCTTACGCCGCGCCAGGCACCGTGGTTCACATGTACTCTCGGAGGTGGGTTACATCTACTATTGCACTGAATCCGTAAAACAGGCCTCCATAGGGACTATCTGCAGATCTCGGATGAGAAAACTGAGGCACGGGGATTCCCGGCCGAGCCCGGGGTCACGCCGTGGCCGCGCAAGAGGAGGAATGACCACCTTTACTATGATCCGGCCCGAAAGGAGCTCCATGCTCCCGTTAAACCCGGGCGACAACCCTAAGGGCTTGCCGTTATGCCCACCTTACAGACGGCGAGACTGAGGCTCGGCCCCAGGCCCACCCCGCACTCACGCGGCCTCCTGGAGGCGACGAAGCACGACTGCGCGGTCCGCCTCGGTCTCGGCCTCCCGGCCCAGCGCCGCCGCCTGCCTCCCCCGCGGACGCCGCGCGGCCGAGCGCCTTCTCTTCCGCGGGGCTGCCGCCCGCCAAGGCCCCGGCGCCTCCGCCGCCTCCGCCGCCGCCGCCGCCGCCGCCGCCATGGCCTCCCGGCGTCACCGGCGCGACGCCCGACGTCATCGCCGCGCGCCCGCGCCCGGGGATTTCAGGGGGCGGCAGGCGCGGGCGGCGCGGGATCCCGGGGCGACTCCGCCGCGCGCGTAGGTACCGGGCGGGGCCGCTGGCGCCCACCCTGCGGGGCCCGAGCCCGGGGCTGCCCGGCGGGCCCGGCGGGGGCGGGGCGCGGACGCCGAGGGGCGGGACCCGGCCGGCCGCGCCGCTGGGCCCCGCCGGCCCCGCCGGCCCCGCCGCCCGCACCTCTGCTCGCAGACCCGGGGCCCCGGGAGCCGGTGCCCTGGGCCAGCTCCCGGGGCCGGCGTTAGCGCCCCTTTCCCTGGCCGGCTGCTCGCCGAGGCCGCTCCCTGCACCCACCACCTTCCTGCCGCAGGCCCTGCGGCCACGGCCGGCTGTTGCTGCGCCTTCCCGGGCCGCCGGAGCCTTCTCTGGCCGCGTTCCGGCGCCTGCCTGCCCCGGGCATCACCAGGCTCCTCCGGACCGTTCCGAGGCAAGAGCGGGGAGCCTGGCAGCGTAGGGCCCAGTCTTCTGGGAAGGAGGGCGGGGGGGTCGCAGGCTGCTGCCCTCGATTCCGCCGGCCTCCGGCCCGTCCGCAGGGAGACCCTCCGCTGGGGCCTCAAGCCTTGGCAACGTAGACATTTTACAAGCCCCAGAGAGTCGGGGGAGCCCGCCCTAGGTACTTCTCTCCAGGGAAAGAGCCTCAAAGAGCTGTTGTAGCCCTCGGAGGGTGACAGGTGGGGCTCGGGCATTCGAAACCCTGTGTCTGGGACCTCAGGCTTGCACAGAGCCACGGCAGTTCCCAAGGGACCAAGGGCTGCTCTTGTGGAAGAGCTCAGCCCCGTTTAGTCCTCCTGCAGTGTCACCCAGGCCAGCGGGCCGCCGTTCCTGGGGAGGCAGGTTGTGTCTTGTGAGCTGCCTGCGTCTCTGCAGGGAGCAAGCCAGAAGCCAGTAATTCTTTTCTTTAAAGATTTTTTACTTATGTATTCATGAGACACACACACAGAGAGAGAGGCAGAGACACAGGCAGAGGGAGAAGCAGGCTCCATGCAGGGAGCCCCAGGCGGGACTCGATCCCGCGTCTCCAGGAGCACGCCCTGGGATGAAGGCAGGTGCTGAACCGCTGAGCCACCCGCGCTGCCCTGAAACCAGTCATTTTTGAACAGTGCAAGAGATAAGTAACAAACCAGGGCCCCTTCTGACTGTGAAATTCCATGATACTCAGTCTTCTGATCTTTTGCAGTTTGAAAGCCACTCGATAAGCTTGTTTTGTTTTGAAAACTTGGCCCAGCTCTGGAATGCATGTTCAGCCCACTTTGGAGCTGTCAAGGTGACAGTTCCTTATTTTGAGTTCCATAATTACTGCAGCAACGGCCTTATTTGTATAGTTGTGGTTGGCACCCAGAGTTTTTTCACACCGGCTATTTAATTTTATGTTCTGTGAGGCATAGCTGTTGAGAGAAACTGAGGAACTTACTCTCAAGTCCTGCTGCAGCCCTTTTTTTTTTTTTTTTGGTTCTCTTTGAAGGATACCACTTGCCTGACCCTGATGGGTCACATGCTCTCTCATGGGTTTCTGAAATAATCTATTCCTTGTGTTTATTTTAGGACCAAGGCACTGGTGTTTGAACGGGAAGCTTCACAACGTTTAAAAGAATCTTCAGAGCAGCTTTGAACCAGACAAACTAGAAATCTCTTCAGAACACCGCCTCCGGCATGCTTCTCCCCTGTTGGGCTTTCCTGGCTGGGGGGTTTTTGGAGAGGTCGTTCTGCAGGGAGCCAGAATGCTGATCCTCATGAAACCAGCTTAGTGGATTTGACTTTTATGGGAGAATCCTCTTGCTTTATTATATACTCTCTGCCAGACTTCTAAGAGGCGTGGAAGCATTCATGGCACTGACGAGCCTGTGGGGAAGCAAGTAGCACTTTCATGCTGAATGATCACCAGGCGGGTGGCAGTTTCGTGGAAAACATTTCAACCTTTCACGTCTGGATTTCCTGGATCGGGGACACAGAGGAACGGTGGCTGCTGGGGCGTAAGGACTGCTACCAGACACAAAACTCCAAATAAATAGAATGAGGGCGACAGGCAAGTAAATGGCCACCACTACCTCAACAGAGCCGACGTCAGCCTCCTGGTGAGTTGCAAGGCCTGTGTGGCTTACTTCCTGCCAGGCTTCTGGACCCATGTTTTGGATTAACTGCAAATCCCCAGCCAGGCTGTCTTGATTTCATTAGGGGGAGGGGCGGGGCGGGGGAAAAAGGCACTTTTGTTCCCGGAGCAGGCAAATCAAGCATGTGAGCCATTTCTCTCCTGAGCTGCCAGATTGTCACCGTGCAGTGTTTGAGTGACTTGAGCATTGCTGGTAGACCGCAGAAAAAATGGCCATGGCCGGGTCATACAGCCGGCTTTGAGGACAGTAGCCTTTGTAGCCTTTGTTGGTAAGAGATGAGAAATTGCATGCAGTGTGGAGCTCCACTACTAGAAGAGGTTTGGCCAGTCCACCTCTTGAAGGGTATTACACAATGTCTACCTGAAACTCCATTCCCTTCTTTTTTTTTTTTAAACATTATTTTTATTTTTATTTATTTATGATAGTCACACACACACACACAGAGAGAGAGAGAGAGAGAGAGAGAGAGAGGCAGAGACATAGGCAGAAGGAGAAGCAGGCTCCATGCACCGAGAGCCTGACGTGGGATTCGATCCCGGGTCTCCACGATCGCGCCCTGGGCCAAAGGCAGGCGCCAAACCGCTGGGCCACCCAGGGATCCCCCTGCTTTGTAGTTTTAAACAGGTTAATTGTGGTTACATGGCAGAGTCAACTGTGAGAGTCCTTTGCAAAGAATAGAGGATTATGGAAATTGAGAAGAGAGATTTATCTGGGAGGAGGAAATCAGAAATTTAATGAGGGATAATATCAGAGTTGTACTTACATACTGTTAGGGTTTTGCCAGGCAGAGAGGGGTTCAGGGCTCTGCTGTGAACTCTCTTGAGCCCCATTTTCCCATTATAGACTCTATCCTGCATTAAAACTGTATGTTTAGGGACCCCTGGGTGGCGCAGCGGTTTAGCGCCTGCCTTTGGCCCAGGGCGCGATCCTGGAGACCCGGGATCGAATCCCACGTCGGGCTCCCGGTGCATGGAGCCTGCTTCTCCCTCTGCCTATGTCTCTGCTTCTCTCTCTCTCTGTGTGTGACTATCATAAATAAATAAAAATTAAAAAAAAAAGAAAAAAAAAACCTGTATGTTTATTGTCTCCCTGCTATCGCCTTGGCCCCAAGGCTGGTAGAGGGAGAGCACACTCTCGGGCCTCATTTACTGTTCATTGAACAAATGCATGAATTTATGGTCCAAGGGAATTGAGAATGTCCAAGGAATATTTCCAGAGGGAATGTCCAAGGAATATTTCCAGAGATCATCGTGTCCCGCAGTTGTGAGGTGTGCAGCTAAGACATCCCTAACTAATTTTATTATCCAAGCCTGAAAAGACAGTGTATATGGTTGTATGGTTAAGGGTCCGTGTCTCAAACAAGAGATGCCACTGGGTGCTCTGTCTCTCCTCTGGCTACTCGTTGGTCTTTCTGGCCAGTCTGACAGCTGGATAGAGGCATATTTTTAGTTTGACTGGACAGCACTCATGAAATGGTTTTTATTATCGATTTGTAGCTACTGGGTTCTTTCTCCCCTGAGGCCACCAGAAGACTTCTCAAATACTAAGTAATGAGACCTTCTCACTCTGGAAAAGAGGAAGCTGTGGTTTTTGTTTGTTTGTTTTTTTAAAGATATTTATTTACTCATGAGAGACACACAGAGAGAGAGGCAGAGACAGAAGCAGGCTCCATGCAGGCAGCCCGATGTGGGACTCGATCCCAGGACTCCAGGATCATGCCCTGAGCCGAAGGCAGACACTCAACTGCTGAGCCACCCAGGCGTCCCGAGGAAGCTGTGTTTTAAAATGCCTTGATCACTGGATGAAAGGAAACATGGCTCTATTCTGTTCTCTTGCCAGGTGGAATTATTTTTTCCTTTATGATAGTTCAAAGGTAAAGGAAGAAGGGGATCCAACGAGAGCTGGCATTTGTTATTTCTATCCTCCTCAGGTAAGCGCCACAGCGTGTTACTGTTTGGTGGGGATCCTACTGCCTCAGAGTGGTGGCTTTTCAAAAGTATAGCATTGACATTGGGACAGTTATCTTTGCATAACCCAGGCATTTGACATTTCTGCTCTCTTATTCTTAGTTGTATTATTTTTGTTGTTCTGGTCTTGAAATTGCCAGACAGCTCTATACTCCATCCTCTCTAGCTCTCTGTGAACATCCTGATTTTCTGTGTGCTTCCCCTTGCTCCCAAGTTTTGATCGGCTCATTTAAAACACTTTTCTTTAAAAAAAGATTTACTGGGGGAATATTATTCAGCCATTAGAAATGACAAATACCCACCATTTGCTTCGACGTGAATGGAGCTGGAGGGTATTATGCTGAGTGAAGTAAGTCAATCGGAGAAGGACAGACATTATATGGTCTCATTCATTTGGGGAATATAAAAGGTAATGAAGGGGAATAAAGGGGAAAGGAGAAAAAATGAGTGGGAAATATCAGAGAGGGTGACAGAACATGAGAGACTCCCAACTCTGGGAAACAAACTAGGGGTGGTAGAAAGGGAGGTGGGCGGGGGGTGGAGGTGACTGGGTGACAGGCACTGAGGGCGGCACTTGATGGGATGAGCACTGGGTGTTATTCTATATGTTGGCAAATTGAACACCAATAAAAAATAAATTAAAAAAAAAGATTTATTGGGGATCCTTGGGTGGCTCAGTGGTTTGGTGCCTGCCTTCAGCCCAGGACATGATCCTGGAGACCCGGGATCAAGTCCCACGTCAGGCTCCCTGTGTGGAGTCTGCTTCTCCTTCTGCCTATGTCTCTGTTTCTCTCTCTCTCTCTGTCTCTCATGAATAAATAAAATCTTTAAAAAAAAAAGATTTATTTTAGAGAGAGAAAGTATGTGCATGGATAATTTCGGGGAGGGGCAAAGAGAGAATCTCAAACAGACTCTCCACTGAGTCTAGAATCCTACTTGAGGCTCTGTCCGCAATCCTGAGATGATGACCTGAGCCAAAACCAAGAGTCAGATGCTCAACTGACTTAGCCACCCAGGTGCCCCTAAAACACTTTTATTTAAACTATACAAAAGCAGAGAGGAGAGTATCATGAACCCTCATGAACCAGTTAACTAGGGACAATAATTCCTTAGTGTCATGTGATACTATCTGTATTCAAATTTTGCCTTTCTGTCTTAGAGGCTACTTAATCAGACCTTGCTCCTTCCTTCCATGCCCCCCCTTCCTTCCCCACCACCCACCTTCCTAGTCAAGATCCAAACAAGGTCCACATATTCCATTTGATTCTTTTGTGTTTTAAGTCTCTTTTGTTGTGTAACACTCCTCACCCACCAACTCATTACCGCCTAACCTCCCCCTTGCCCCTTCACCCTGGCTATGCCACTGAATTACTAAAGAAGCCAGGGTATTTGCACAGTAGAATGTCAGAAGGTCCCACACTCTGGATTGGCTGGATCACTTCCTTGTGGCAGTGTCATTTCAAGTCTTCCTTCCCCTGTACTCCTTTATAAGAGTAGTAAGATCTGGAGCTCTGATTAGGTTTAAGTTTGGTTCTTTTAAGCAAGACTTCTTCCTGATGGGTGTGTAGATTTTCTGTTGCATGACATGATGTCTGGCTGCCCCACAGTTGAGTCAATGCTGAGACCAATTAGGAGGTCTGTGTATTCACTCATATGATCACACTCCCAGTTGGGTAGTTGGGATTTATCTGAGCTGCTCTGGCCACTCTTCAGGGAATCTGAACAGGGACCAAGGGCTCCTGGTGCAGCCCACATCAGGCCTCTAGTCTTAGGAACAAAAACATAGTTCTCCCCAGGCATCATGTGCACTCAGCTGTGAATGTTTTGTGGCAGTTCTGTCCTCCCAGGTAGGGGACCACACACTAGGCCTGACAAGGGCCTAGGAGTGAATACTGATGCCTTGTAAGCCATGGAAGGTCTACATCACACATTCTCTTTGTCATTGGTATTACCACCCTTAATAGGAAAATCATGCTTAGCTCCCAGGCCATCTGAAAGCAGGTAACAGCCCAGATCTGGCCTGACAGCCATAGTCTACTGCAGCTTCAGCCCTGCTCTAAGGAATGCCATTCGAGTTCAACAGTTTCAGCTTCCCCTCTGGTCTTTACTGCTTCCCCACAGACCCTTTTGGACCAGCAGGATTTGCTCTGTGGACAGATTGCTGGCGTTGTGCGCTGTATCTCTGACCTCTCTGCCTCTGCCCCTGCCCTCATTCGTCTGCGGAAACTGAAGTTCGCCATCAAGGTTGATGGAGAGTACCTTTGGGTAAGTTTACTAGGGAGAACCTAGGGTTGCCTCCACCATGAGCCATCTGTCTTGCTGACGAGTGCTGTGTCGCCAAGGAGCTTTGGAGTCTAGGATCCCCTCCACACCCATAGGGGCTACGTGCATTATCATCACACTGCCTGTCTGTAGGTGCCACTGTAACTGAATGTTCTCCAAAACCTTTCTTTCTTTCTTCCTTTCTTTTTTTTAAGATTGTATTTATTTATTTGAGAGACAGTGTGTGTGAGAGAGAGAGAGCACGAGCAGGGAGCCCGATGCAGGGCTCGATCCCAGGACCCTGGCTGGGATCATGACTTGAGCCAAAGGCAGGTGCTTAATCAACTGAGCCATCCAGGTGCCCTCAAGAACATTTCTAACCTGTCCTGCATTGCATGTGGCTGGTTTCTCATTGCCTTTGAGGAACTTCAGCCAGCCTGCAGAAACTCTCCTTGCTCTGTGTTGTAGATCAGGTTTTCATTCTCCATCTTTTCTCTTCTGTACTCCCCGCATTTACAGGGCAGTTGGCCCAGAAATTCGGAAACATTGACATATAGATGTTGGATTTCAAAGAACCATTAAAAAATGATAAAAACCATTTCTTTACAGCTGATGGTACCATATACACTAGGGTTTTTTTTTTTAAGATTTTATTTATTCATGAGAGACACACACACAGAGAGAGAGAGAGAGAGAGGTAGAGAGGTAGAGACACAGGCAGAGGGAGAAGCAGGCTCCACACAGGGAGCCCAACATGGGACTCGATCCCGGGTCTCCAGGATCACACCCTGGGCTGAAGGCAGCACTAAACCACTAAGCCACTGTAGCTGCCCCACACTAGGGTCTTATTGTCCTATGCCTACACTCACTTAAAACTGATTTCCGAGGTGAAAGGATGTTTGAGTGTGAGGTGGTATATTCAGCTTTGCATGTATGTCTGCCAGCATCATATTATGACACTTTTCTCACATGGCAAACCGTTGAAGGAATTTTACAGTGAACACTCATCTTCTTCACAACACTTCCAGATTCTACAGGTACCATTTTATCATATACATTATTTACCACAGTAGTCTTAGCACATCTGTCCATCTATCCCCTCATCTTTTGGCAATCCAGGTTTTATTTGAACACTTGCCAAAATTGCACACACTAATATACTCCTCCTGCCCACCCCAGTACCTCATTGTGCATAACATTAAGTAGAGTTCTGTAGTGCTTTGTGATTTTTGCAGAGGCAGGGGAGGGAGTAAGAGTTACATACACTGAAACACACAAAAATCTTGAGTGCACCCTGAACGAGTTTGGACAAATGACTCTTCTGACACAAATCCCATCAAGACGCAGAATGTTAGCATCACTCCGGGCAGCTCCCTGACGTCCAGTTAATTCTTACCCCAAGCCCCAAGCAACTGTTGTTTTCTCATTTTTCCCCTCCACAGTTAAGTTTCGCCTGTTCTAGAAGTCACAGGAGTGAAATAGTATGTATCATATTCCTCTCTGTGGGCTGCTTTTGTGTACTATGAGCCTGTTGGGCATGGATCAGCAGTTCATTCCTTTTTACTGTTCAACAGCTTTGTCTGAATGTCCATTGTCTGGATAGGTCTACTTAACTTTCCTTTTTCTAGAATTATGAGCCATGTCCAGTGAAGGGCAATTAAGAATAAGGCCTCTAGGAACATTCCTATCTGAGTCTTCTTGTGGTTATGACTTTTCATTTCTCGTGGGTAAATATCTAGGTCACAGGGTAGATGTATGTTGAATTTCTAAGAAACTGCCAGACTTTTTCCCAAAGCAGTTGTACCATTTTACACTCATACTAACCATATGTGTGTGAGAATTGGTTATTCCGTGTCCTTGTCAATGCATGCTGTCAGTCTGTTCAATTTGAGCCATTCTGCTGGGTATGTAGTGATATCTTATTGTGGTTTGCATTTACATTTCCTTAGTGACTAATGATACTATGGGCACAGATATATCTCCCTTTGAGAAGTGTCTGTCCAAAGCTTTTTTGCCTATTTTTTAAATTGGGTTTTCTTTCTTTACGGAGTCTGAGTTCTTTATATATATCAGCTGTTTGTTAGATACATACTTTAAAGGCATTTTCTCCCAGTTTGTGGCGTGCCTGTCAGTTTTCTTAATGATGTCTTTTGAAGAGAAGAACATTTTAATTATTTTAAGTTTATTTATTTAAGTAATCTCTACACCCAACGTGGGGCTCAAACTCACAACCTGGAGATCAGGAGTCACAGGCACCCCCAGAATGTTTTAATTTTAATGAAGTCTAACTTAGCAATTTTATCCTTTGTGGTTATTGCCTTCTGTATCCTGTCTGAAACCATTCCCTACCCTGTTGGAGAAGACATTCTCCAATTTTTTTGGTCAGCTTTATAGTTTCCACTTTTAAACTTAAGTCTGGGGGAGATCCCTGAGTGGCTCAGCAGTTTAACACCTGCCTTTGGCCCAGGGTGCGATCCTGGAGACCAGGGATCGAGTCCTGCCTTAGGTTCCCGGCATGGAGTCTGCTTCTCCCTCTGCCTGTGTCTCTGCCTCTCTCTGTGTGTCTCTCTGTCTATCATGAATAAATAAATAAATAAATCTTAAAAAAAAATAAACTTAAGTCTGGGGATGCCTGGGTGGCTCAGTAGTTGAGCATCTGCCTTCGGCTCAGGGCGTGATCCCGGGATCCAGGATCGAGTCCCATGTCGGGATCCCTGCGAGGAGCCTGCTTCTCCCTCTGCCCATAGCTCTGCCTCTTTCTCTGTGTGTCTCATGAATGAATAAATAAATCTTAAAAAAATAATAAAAATAAACTTAGGTCTGTAACCCACCTTGGATTAACATTTGTGCATGATGTGACGTAGAGGTCAAAGGTCACCTTTTCCCCTATGGATATCCAGTGGCTCCAGTGCCATGGTTGAAAAAAATCTCCTGCTTGGATTCCTTTGGCTCTTCTCTTGATGATCAGGTGACTGCTGTAGTGGGGGTTTGTTTCCGGTCTCTATTCTTTTGCATTGATCTATTGGAAGATCTCATATAAGTACTGCACTGTCTTGAAATCAGATAGTCTAAGCTGGAGGACAAAAATCTTTATGCTTTCCCAAGACAGCTTTGGCTAATTTAGGTCCTTTGTGTTTCTCTCATGGAATCAGCGTGTCAGTTTCTGAAGAAAAGCTGGCAGGTTTATGATTAGAGTTGCATTCAATCTATAGATCAATCAGGGAAGAAGTAAGCACTCACTGTATGGTTAACCCTTGGATGACATCAGTGAACAAAACAAGGATCCTGGCCTTGGTGGAGCTTACATTCAGAGGGAATTTATTTGTTTTCCATCAGGGTTGGTTTATTTCTTTAAGTTTCTGGTGATTTCCTTAAGAAAGTTTCCTAGAGGTTGAATCACTGAATCAAAGAATACAAAATTTTTTCAGGCTCTTTAAACATATAGCCAGATTACTTTTTGGCCAAGCACAGGTTTCTCTTCTGTGGAGCTAAGCCCCACAACAGCACTCTGGAGCTTTAGAACAGGGTGATTATTCGGTCAGTTCCCTTCCCGAAACACTTGATCCAGCTGGGGAGATGAAGTTGGAGTCGGAGTCCTGTCCAGCGTTTGTAATGAACCCCACATAAAATATCCAGTGCCCAGATAACAGTCCTGAAGATGTAAGGGGTCAGAAAAGAGGTCAGTACTGATTAAGGTGATCAGAATGGGCACCAGGAAGGTGCTGGAATCTGCAGCAGGCTCCGAGAGGATGGATGAGCCCTGAACAAATGGACAGGGGAAAGGAGGCCATGCCAGGTGGGACAGCATAAATAGATAGAAAAAAGTACTTGTTCTGTTGGGGACCAGCTGGAGTGGATGGTGAAGGCCAGGGGCTGACCTATCAGTTTGGATGGGCTATGGATTCTAGCTCTAGAGAGCCCTGGGTGCCAGACCTCCAGGCTTGGACTCAAAGCAAAGAAAAATGCCTGTCTTCTGGTTTCCATCTTCCCAGGTACTAGGGTGTGATGTGGGGCTCCCTGACCATAGCTGCGAGCAGTTTCTGGATCAGCTTGTTGGAGTCTTTAATTTTTACAATGGGCCCGTTGCTCTGGCTTATAAGGTATGAAGATTGTGGTAAGCGGTCTTCTGCGACCCCCTTCAGCAAACCCAACATCGCCAGAACATAGCATTACTTTGGGGCTGTTAGACTTCGTGTAAATACATCATGTCCACTAACAAGGTCAAGGGGCCTGGGAACTCCTCTCAGATGCCTTTGTGCCTCAGTGGGGGAGGTCGTGTCCACCGTGCATGTCTGTCCCCATGTCCTCCACCCTGGACAGATGGTTGGAAAGAGCAGGGTGCCACCCACGGGTGCTGGGTCTGTGGTAGTGAGTCCTTGGGGCAGGAGGTGGGGTCTTGTGCATAGGAGGTTTACAGCAGGCCCTGCCTTCTGGCCAGTTTCCTGCGTGAGGAATGATTTTTGTAGTAGTAGGGAGCCTTCCCAAAGGGTATGTCTCGCTAACCTCAGATGGTTCCCGTTTTAGAACCGTTCTCAGGAAGACCTGCATGCCGAGTGGGACGCCTTCATTGACCAGATTCTGAGGAACACTAGTGATCTGCACAAGATATTCAGTTCCCTCTGGAACCTGGACCGAACTAAAGTAATCCCTTCATCCCCCTTACCCATTTCATGTAAAGGGATAGAGCTCCTGGACGTTTCTCTTTTTCTCCTTAAATGGCCTGTATATCTGGAGAAGGAACTAGAGTGTCATTCCCCAGTCAGGATAGTTATGAAGACCTGCCCTCTGTTTCCATACTGCCATTGGCCAGCTGTATGAGCATGGACAGACCAAGTCTCCTCAGAGAACCCTTCCCTTACCCACAGACTGCTGTCCCAGTGCCCGCTGCTCCCAGAACCATTTTGACAACCCAAGAAGACAGTGCTTAAGATGGCACAGAGTAAATAGTAAAGGGTGGTGTTATTTTGCTAGTGCCCCAGAAGTGTGGAATTCTGGCATCTGAAGGTCCCCGTCTCTCTTGATATGGATGTTACACTATTGACTTGTATTCTCAACACCAAAAATGCCCAGTGGTAACATTTTAAAAACAAAGTTTCTCTCTCTGGGAGGGAGAACTTGGGAGCGTTTTGTCCCAGAGCCATTCCATTGGCCACTGGCGTTCAGGAATGTACAGGCTGCTTATAGGGCTGGCCTGACCACCTGAACTGCCTGTTACTCCGTGGCCTTGACCTTGGTGAACATCACAGTTGCGTTGTGAAGGGCCAAAGGGAGATGTGAGGCCTTGCCCCCTAAAGAGCTGACCACCTGCACCCCAAGCACCTGAAGAGATGTCTGGGTCACGTCTCACCGCAGTAGTTAAGAGGGTCCCTTCAAAATGGATGTGGCGTTGTGACTCTGCCTTCACAGAGCATGACTCCGGCTAGAAATGGGGACAGGTTTTTCTGGCTCCTGTTGGAAGAAATTTTTAAATTTGGCCCCTTACAGAATGGCTGGTTGGCTGGGACTGGGTATTGTCTCGAGGATGTGAAAGAACAGCATCATCTCCAAAGCTTGCTCTGTTGGCGTGGCGCTTGCAGGTTCTAGCTGCCAGCAGGAAAAAGGAAGAGGCTTTTAGTTACTGCTGGTGACTCTTGACCAGGTGCAGATCCTTTTCTGGTATTTTTAGGGACTTCCAGGCAACTGACTCCTTACAGGGACCGTGGGCTGAGGATTATTTCCCTGAGCAAGAGACCAGGATGTTTTCATTTTATGTTACAGGGCAGAATTATGGGGCCTGGCAGGACACGATGCCAGCTCTTTGGCAGTGGGGCTTGTGCTCCAGAGGGAAGGGAGAGGATTGGGGTATGTGGCTTTACCTTTCTCCTCTCTGCTGCCTCCTGGTCTCAGCATCGAGTCAGGGTCTCCTGAGGGGAGACCTGCCTTGCCCCCTGTGAGTGGCCACATGCCATATTGGCTGTACCTTTCCACTTCTGCAGAAGCCGCCCTGTTCCAAGAATTGCATTTTGCATCATCCGCAGTTCTGAGTATAGAGGTAGAACATAGACCCCAGACGTGAGATAGATGTTACCATGTGGCACCTTCTCCTTTTCCCTGGTTTTGGCCTATGACTTATTCATCTGTTCTATAAAGCCCCCTCCTCTTCCCACCTTTGCCCGCTCATCTGTGGGTGTGCTTCTCGCCCTGCCCAGGTGGAGCCACTATTGTTGCTGAAGGCAGCCCTCATTCTGCAGACCTGCCAGCGCTCGCCTCACATTCTAGCTGGCTGCATCCTCTATAAGGGACTGTGAGTAATACCAGACTCTCTCCTGCACCCAATCCCCCTGCCACAGAACTGACCATCCCAGCCACCTCTGGTTCGTGAGTGGAGAGCTCTATCTCTGGCCAGTTCCAAGAGAGCTGTTTTGGCAAATATCAGATAGTTTACATTTGACTTAGGGTACATCCATGTCTTACAGTGAAGCTGGGAAATTGGAAATTGTGTCCAGAAAAGAGTTTGGAATATAAGGCAGTTTTAGAGAGATCCACGTAAGTCTCAGCATGGGGCATGCCTTATAGCTAGCAGTCTACAAAATGCTAATGCAGAATGCCCCAGGTTGTCAGCAGCCAGCACTGGAGGTAGAGGGGTATGGAAGCTTGCTGTGGCCCCCCTGCTGCCTGGGACCCCAGGGCTCTTGCTACGGCCAGCCCTGCATAGCTGCAAAGCAGCCTTACCTGCTTCTGCTCCAGCTCCTGCCTGCCTCCTGACTGCATCTATCCTTTGGCTGGTCTCTGAGATCTCAGCATACCTCTTTATGTAGTTGGATGGCATTGGAGGGAGCCCGAGGGATCATTTGTGGTCTGAGGCTCTCCTCATGGAGGGCTGCTGCTTGTGTCCAGAGCTTTTTGAATACTGGATGAATATGTGAGCAGAGAAGCTCTGTGGGCCTGATGGATTGGGTTTCCAGTCCTGGTCTCACCTTCCTGGCCCTGTGACCTTGGGCAGGTCCTTGCTGAGTTTTCTCTACTGGAAAAGAACCAAATGAGAGGGCAAACGTAGAAGGACCTAGCACAGGCCCTACTTCCCAGGGGCTATCGGCACAGAACGGACCCTGGTGCCTTTCTTTTTTACTCACAATCGTGCCACAATTGACTTAACTACTCTCTGTTCGATGGACATTTGAGTGGTTTACCCATTGCTATAATGATTTTACCTTTTTTTTCTATAATCAGTACTCTCTAGCGTGCATCTTGGTATAAGGCCGGTCAGAATGTTGGGACATTTTGAAGTTCGGTAGGAATGGCCAGAGTGCCCTCCATAAAGGGTTTTGCCAGTTGAAACTCCCACCATCTATGTCCCCAGGATCCTTGCCAGTTAGGGTGTTAGCAATCTTTCCATTTCAGAGTCCTGTGATGTATTTTGTCTCACGGTGTTCTTGTTCCTGTGACCTAGGATTGTTAGCACCCAGCTCCCACCCTCCCTCACGGCCAAGGTCCTGATTCATCCAGCTGTACCTTGGGACCAGGTATTGTAAAGCCCACCCACCTGACTGGGGTGCTTTGTCCAGAGCAGAAAAAATAAAGAATTTTTAAGCAAAAACAAAACAAACAACAACAACAACAAAAAACCACAAAGCTATCTAATGTGATCTCAAACTATTATTTAAAAAAATGCATAAACTTAAAGGAAAATATGTGTAAGATTAACACTATTAGCTTGTGGGTGAGGAAATTTTATGGATTTTTGTGGGGAGGGGGAAGTTTTTGTCTTGAGTAAAATTCTATAACTTAAAACATGAGTTTTTTACAAAGCCACTAAAAGAAGAATGCCACATCGTTTCTTTTTTCTTTTTTTTAGATTTTATTTATTTATTTGAGATAGAGAGAGAGTGCACGCACATGCACAAGTAGAGAGAGGGATTAGAGGGAGAGGGAGAAGCAGACTCCCCCCTGAGCAGGGAGCCTGATGCAGGGCTTACCCCAGAACCCTTAGGTGATGGTGACCTGAACCAAAGGCAGACACTTAACCCACGGAGCCACCCAGGCATCCCTGACCACATCATTTCATAGGAGTGAAAGCCATGCTGGCTAGAAGAGTTTTTGTATTTTGTTTTGTTTTGTTTTGGTGCATTATTTTAGAACCTTTGGTAGAGATGTCTGGAAAGCTCTTTCGAGAAAATTCCTAATTTTAGAGAAAATTAGGTTTGTCACTTCGATTGTGAGTCAGAATAAACCAGAGAGATCTAGTGTAGCCTTTGGTTTAGGTCAGATGCTTTATCATGAGGGTCACTGGACGTTCACATATTTGTTGTGCTGTAATGTGTGTGCCAGGGCTGTGGCAGGTGCTGGTATATTGTGACAGATGAGTTCTCCAAAGGCATAAAAGGTAACAGGAGTCCTCATTTTCATTCCCAGACGAGGGAAACAAATCAGAGCGTGAAGCCTAATGTGTGTTTGGGGAGAGCTACTGCCTGTGTAGGGCGCAGGTTCTCGCCTGACCCTGGCCACGGTGGTGAGCAAGCAGCTTGGGGGAGTTTCTGTTCCATCTGCTTTGTTGCTGGCATGTGGTCAGGGCCAGAATTCTGGGCCTGGCTAAGTTTTATGAACAGATGGCACAGCACAGTCCTGATGATTTGGTCAGGAGGAGAAACCCGACACCAATTTCTGTGTGTATTTATTCGCAGAGAAGATCTGCAGGAGGGGGTGCCCTGCAGGAAAATGGTAAGTGGCAAGGTGCATCACTGTATCTTGAGAATGCAGTCTTTTTTATGCTGCCTGTCCCCTACACAAGTCAGAGGAAGGCCAAGCAGTCCCACGAGGTCTTTCATCTGCTTGTAGATTAGGAGAATAGACTAGAGCTTTCAGAATGAAGTTACCCACCAGAATCCTGATCATAGGCTCATGGTTTTAGACGTACCTTTTAAAGCCTTGTTTTCAGATGCTTCCTAACTCATTGTTACCAGACTGCTCAAACTAGGTCCAGGGGATTCTGGTTAGGAGGGGCTGAGATAAATGACAGCGGCCAGAAAGACCTTCTGCAAGATGTGGAGGCATCTCTAAGAGGGTTATTTTGTGTGTGTGTGTGTGTGTGTGTGTGTGTGTGTGTGTGTGTGTGTTTTAAGATTTTATTTATTTATTCATGAGAGACACAGAAAGAGAGAGAGGCAGAGACATAGGCAGAGGGGGAAGCAGGCTCCACGTAGGGAGCCCGATGTGGGACTTGATCTCGGGTGTTCAGGATCATGCCCTGAGCTGAAGGCAGGCATCAAACCGCTGAGCCACCCAGGCTTCCTGGGTTTTGTTTTATTTTGAAGCCTAAGTTAGGGCAGAACCCTGTTGTCAGTTGAAAGTGGTTTCTTTTCTTTCTTTTTCCAGCTTTTATCTTTTTTTTTTTTTTTCAAGTGCTGCTAGATTTTCTTCCCCCAAAAGTCACCTTTCTCTGCAGGGAGGAGTAAAGTTGCTCATGAGGGCTCCTTCCTTGCTGGGCACAGAAACTGTAGCTGCGGTTTTGTGTCTTTTGTTCTGGACTGAGGAGCGTGTCAGAGCGCAGCTGTCTGAGCCAGCGTGTGATTCAGATGCATAACCCTGAGAACAGTGTCCCTCTGTCTTCCCTGGCCCAGGGCAGAGCCCTGTCCATGTTGCTTTGTGATTCTAGGAGCGGCACTACCCCCAAATGTCCGGATCATGCCTGTGTTCCTGACTGAAGAAGAGGCCATCAGCCTCTGTGAATTCCCAAGGGAGCAGGCAGCTAGGTAAGGAGCCACAGGAGTGTTTTCTTACACGATGCTGAAGAGACTCCCTCATGTGATCTATCCAGACAAGGCCCTGGACATCCCAGCCTCCCATATTCCATTGTCTGCACACTTTGTGGTGGAAGGGGCATCTGGGACTTGAGCATGTAGATAACAGGTGGCTGGCATGGTGAGATGGGTATAGGTTTCAAGTCCCCCGTCTGTTGCTTATCAGCTGTGTGACCTTGGGCAAGTCCATTCCCTGCCTGAACCTTAGGGTTTTCATCTGTAAAAGGGACCCAGTGATAACTTAGCATCTAGTAGAGGGCTTAACTCCTAGCAGACTTGCGGGGGGGGGGGGTGGCTCTCATGCAGGCCCTGCCATCTTCAGCAGGGGACCTGGTAGCACTTGAGGGCCAGACGTTGCCTTACTTTTACTCCTGTGGTTAGACCACTAAGGACTCTTAGGCTCTGTGGCCTCGGGCATCCATTTGTCACCAGTGGCCCTGCTTTTTAGGGAAGCAGTTCTTCAGTGTCCTCCAGGGACGGGCACTTGCCCTGCACTTGGCCCGGCACCCCCTCCTCACATCTGCCTTGTTTGTCAGCCCTGCTGCACCACCCACCAGACTCCAGGAGTGCTCAGCCCAGCAGCCTCCACACACTTGGAGCACAGCTGCCCCAACAGAAAATGCCACTGGACACGTGGAGCCCATGGCTTGGATGTTGGCAACCACTCCTGAGTTTGTGTGTCCTGACGTAGCATGGCCAGATGGCAAGGGGGAGAATGGGCACTTGCCTGGCCGTGATCTGGAGAACATTATGCCTGCAAAACTGCACCATCCTTCCAGGGACGAGGGTCCTGGTCTTGGCAGCTCCCTAGCAAAGGAACCTCGTCTGCCCTGGGAGGAAGAGGAACCAGACCTGTCTGCAATCCACATTCCAGAAGCTCAGGAAACAGAAACATCCTCAGGTGATTTTGCCCTCTTGAGTATGGGCACCCCAGATGGTGGTAGTCCTGGCTTTGAGGAATCTGTCAGGGACTCTGGTGACCGGGAACCTGAGCCACCTGACCCACTGCTTGTGGGCATAGCCACCAGCAGCCTCCTCTCTCTGTCTACTCCTGAGATGCTCATCCAGAGTGGAGCTGTGGAACAGCATGACGACCTTCCAGGAGATAGCAGCCAAGATGCCTCTCCCAGGAAAGACCACCTCCCCAGAAGGACAAACAGGCCTCGGTCATGGCCTTGCTTAGACTGGAGGCAGAGAGGCACCATGCTTTCCGTGGGGAAACAGGGCGCAGAGCAGTGTGTTGGGGTTCATGACAGCTCCTCAACACCCGGCAGCTCAGACCTGGCAGGGTCTCAGGACGATGGTACTTCTGCAGACAGAAGCGACCCTGGGTCAACACCAGCATCCCGTGTGGGCCTTGTGCCAATGAATCTCTACACGCACAGTGTTAATGGTCTGGTGCTGTCCCTGCTGGCCGAGGAGCTGCTGCTGGGCGACGAAGCAGCCGTTGAGGAGGTGGTGAGTGTATGCACACCTGCCTCCTGGGAGCGGGGACAGGCAGGGAGGGGGTTCCCCTTGCAGCAGTGTGCAGGGCTGCCTGACCTCATGGGTCATCCCCACCTGCTTTACACAGTAGGGATGACGGAATAGCATCTACGCCCTGGGTTTGGTGGGGGTTGGTGAATCCAGTGCAGAGCACGGTGCTGGGGGCAGAGACTTCCGAGTCCAGTTCTGTGGTTCTTCCCCTGCTTCTTCCATCTTCCCAAAGTGCAAGTCTGGGATACTTCGGTTTTCCCTTCAGCAATGTCAGGTTGTCACAGGCCCTGCCTTAAGGTGCAGAGCAGCATCACACAGGTGAAGACAGGCAACACAGCAAGGGTTGTGCTGCCGCTTCCACCACTACCACCACCAATGGCCTCACTTCCTAGCCTGGGCAGCTGTAGGCTGTGTCGGTTGGAGTCAGTACTCTGCCTCTATCACAACCCAGGTGGGGAGTACTCTGGAAGGCCACAGTTTTCCTCCCGTGAACCTTGGTGATCTGAAGCTCCTTCCTAGTGGGCCTAGGACATTTGAAATGCTAACGGGCTCCAGAAAGTTCCTCTTCAAGCACATAGAGCAGTGAGCTGACCTTCTCAGAGCTTAGGCCCACGCTGGAGCTCCAGTTGCTATAGTAACAGCCTCGCCTGGTTGGCAGGGAAGTGGTAGTAGGAAGAACAGCAGGTTGAAATAGCTGCTGGGCAAATGGTGTCCTGGGGCTTGCTTTGTTTCTGTTCTTAAATCTGTATTATTCTAAGGCCATCTTATTAGCATGCAGGGCTCCTGACCCTTGGGAAGTGAGCCAGTCACCTTGGGGCACTGAAGAGGAGGGCAGGCAGCTTCCCCAGCGTGGAGCCTTGAGGCCAGAGGCTGCTCCTCTGCTGGCTTGCCTGGCTTATCTCCCCTTTCCACAGACCGCGCGGCACCCCATGGTGGTTCAGTTACTTCCTGCACCCTCCTTCACCGCTGCTGCAAGGGACTTACCCACCCCCTTCCGCTAGCAACACAACACGGGGCCGGTGGGTACGGTGCTATGTGTGTTGTCTCTCCCTGACGATGCCTTGGTATTCGTGGCCTCCTCTGCTTTGTGCCAAGCAGCAGACAGGTTATTTTGAAGACCCAGGATTTGGAAGCAATGAAGTGGATAGATCTTTAGCTACCCCCCACCCTGCCCCCAAAAAAGAAAATGAAAAAATAGCATAGGCTGCTCCTGAGGAAGGAAATAAAATGTATTCTGCATTCAGTGGCTGCTAAAGCCTTGCTATCTGCTATTTCTGCCATTTCATCTCCCCGTTCCTACCCCCGCCCCCGTTTGTCTGCTCCCCCACTGAGCTGACCTGGGAGTGATCAGACTTGGTTTCTCACACCCTGGCTCAACCCTATCGGGACAGCGGCCTCTGGCCTCCGTGGGCTGTCATGCAAAGGAGGGTTTGGTGTGAGGTGGGCCCCAGGAGAAAAAGCAGTGCCACGAAACCTCTAAAAAGAGTGAGAAGTAACTGACTTTGATCAGTTTGCTGATTTGAGAGTGGGCTTTGTCTGTCAGGCCCGAAGTCTGTCTGTTTTATAATGGGGAGAGATCTTTTTTTTTTTTTAGGGATTTTATTTATTTAATCATGAGAGACAGAGAGAAAGAGAGGCAGAGGCATAGGTGAGGGAGAAGCAGGCTCCATGCAGGGAGCCCAATGTGGGACTCAATCCCAGGACTCCATGATCACGCCCTGAGCCAAAGGCAGATGCTCAACCACTGAGCCACCCAGGTGTCCCTAGGGAGAGATCTTTTATCGCCTTTTTGTTCTGGACCTGCATACAAAATACTTGATCAGATTTCCCTCCAGACCCTCTGCTGATGTCAAGAAAAGCAAGTCCCCTGCAGAATAGTAAACCACAGTTCAGATATAACCATGAGCACACCCCTTTGAAAGTGCTCCTTGATCATATTACACACCACCATGGGACCCCCATGTCATTTGCCATCTTGTCTTTCAGTGGGTGAACTGCCACCTCTTCATGCTTGTTGAGGGTTGGGGTGGGGCGCTGGGGGGATGGTTGTGGGGGTCAGGGGGTGGAGGGGTGGGGAGCAGCCAGGAGAGGTTGCCAGGGGTTCAGAGAAAATATATGCTCACACCAGGGGGCAGCATAGAGCCAGTGATAATTTGCTGCTCAAAACCCAAGATAATCTCAACTGACCTTCAAAGACCGGGATCAGATCAATGATTGATTGGTACAGTAGGACTTTGAGCTGTCAGTGTACAGTATATGAGGCCTGAGGTTAGTGCCAGGGAATTAGTGTAAAGTACTTCATGAACGTGCACCCCTCACCCATGAAACTAGTGCTTTGGGTGAAGGTGTGTTATTGCATCATTTCTTCTGCACCTCATGGCCCACACTGACATTCAAGCCACTTGCTTTACTACTGACTAGAAACTGGAGGATCCGGGAATTAGGCCCATGGTTAGAAATCATGTCTCCTAGGGCTGTTGTGAGGATCATGTGGGTGCTAGTGTTATGTCAGGGGTTGGCAAACTTTTAAGGGAAAGGAACATCTAGCACCTATTTTCAGCTTTGTACAATTACTCAGCTCTGCTGTGGTAGTACAATAACAACCGTAGATAATACGTAAATAAACGTAGTGGCTGTGTTCCAGTGATGCTTTACTTATGGATGCAGAAATTGGAACTTCGTATAATTTCCATATGTTACCATATGATTCTTTTGATTTTTTTTTCCAACCATATAAAACTATGAAAACCATTCTTAGCTCTCAGGCTATATGAAAACAGGCAACTGGCTGGATTTGGCCTACAGGCCATTGGTTCAGTAACCCCTCATATAGTTGAAAGCATTAGTTACCAGTAAAAACTTGTCTACGTATTATCTGGCATAATGTCTTGTGGTTGTGTGTATTTATGCTTAAGTGACTTTATCTTGAGTAGAAGTTAGGCAGAAGATTCCAGAAGCAGAGTTTGGTGCCTATAGGGGAAACTTGGGTTTTTGCCTGCCTCACTCTCTGTCCCCATCATCCCTTCCTTTGGGCACCAGCTCAAGATGGGAGGGATGCCGGTTAACGAGTTCCTAAGGCCCAGAAAACTTTCACTGAGGCTGTGGTTTGATTTCTTGGTGAAGGATTGTATGGGCATGTGCACCCGGGCATCTGTTCAGGTAGGAGGCTCATTAGCATCAGTGAAGTTTCGTGTTGGTTCTGCCATACTGGTGGTCTGACCTGGAGATACTGTGCTTGTCTTCTCCAGGCATAGGTCCATTGACTCTTTGTGTATACCTCAATTTAAACCAAGTAACCCATAGGGGAATGTGCTTGGCATTGGATATGCTCCTTCATATGTTCGTTGTGTAGATGTTTTATGAGCACCTACTAAGGGCCTGGCACCCACTTGGCACTGGGGATGTAAAGATGAACATGTGCAGTGAAAGCATATGTGCAGATCTCTTGCTTCTGAGACACCTAGACAGAACTAAGGTCAGCTCAGTTCGCTACCAGAAATAACACTTCAGCTTCAGGACACAGATGTCAGAAGCCCGCTGTTTGCATCTCTGTTCTTTTCATGTGCACTTATTTTTTTTACAGGTTTGTTGGATAATAATCCACAGACAAGTCCTGAGTGCTTATTAAAAACTTCCTCTTATTTGATGATAATTTTCATTTTCTTGACTCTTAATAGAAAGGTTTTCCCCCAGGTCCCATTTTTACTCTCTAAAACAAAGCATCATACAAAAAAGGTATAGTCCAGTGTCCTCAGCTGTGCCTGCACATGACTCGTCCTGGGGGGTGGTCTGAATATACAGGTGCTTGGGCCTCCCCTCCCAGACAGCTTTGCTCAACTGGATTCCTCTGCTGAACCACAGAGCACAGAAATCCATCTGACCCATGCTTCTCAGTCCCTCCAAGAATGGTGCAAAGCCAGTACCATTCTAGATGCACCAGAGAGATGAACTCATTCCAGACAGTGGGGGACTTCTGAGCACAGGCCCAGGTGAGAGGCCCTGCTGGTGCTGTGAAAATGTGCAGCCTGGGTGGGAGAGTCATGATCAGAGGATGTACCAGGGTGCCAGTAGTGGCTGTGCCTGCATGGTGAGATTAAGGGCCACTTTTTGTCACTTTCTTCCTTCTCAACTTTTCTGTTTGCCTCTATCTTCTGATTTTTCTACATTTTAGGAAAGCATTGGAACCTAAAGGCAAGAGGGGCGTCTGGGTGGCTCAGTCGGTTAAGCGTCCAATTTCAGCGCAGGTCATGATGTCAGAGTGGTGAGATTGAGCCCCATGTTGGGCTCTGCACTGGGTATAGAGCCTGCTTGAGATTCTCTATCCCTCTGTCCCCCAAGCCCCCAACCCCATGTTCATGCTTTCTCTCAAACAAGTAAATCTTTAAAAAAAAAAAAAAAAAAAAGCATAAGAGCAGGAGTTAGTACTTCTCTAAAAACAGGTAAAAACACCAATCAGAATCCTTTTTGCTTCATCAAGTGAACACATGGATATCCTTAGGGTCATTATTACCTAAGTGTCCTGTCTGCTGAGGTTAACTTTGCCCCCCGACCCTCCCTTTGCAGTACCACAGTAGCCTGGCATCCCTGAATGGGCTGGAGGTCCACCTGAAGGAGACACTGCCCAAGGATGCAGCTGCCATTCCCAGCAGGACGTACAACTTCACGCATTATGACCGCATCCAGAATGTGCTGACCGGTAAGGAGAGGAGCGTGGGGCCTAGGCGCCTCCTAAACATGCGTTGCGGGGAGGACTCAGGGCCAGCGCCCCCAGGGTTGGTGCTGTGCCCAGAGTTGTGGACTGCAGTTAGGATGCTGCTTTCACGCTGGGAGCCAGCTCCCACTGAGTTTAGAATTCGTCTGGCAAACACTTCCTTACTCATTTGTCTTTTTTTGGTTGTTTCTCCAACATTTTGAGAGAAGCACACACATGTTCAAATATCTGTGATCAGGTCTGCCTCGAAATTTTGCTATCCATGGGCAGAAACCTGGTGTTGCTAATTCTCAGGGACAGTGTTGTCTGTTGCCTCGTGGCAGCTGGAGGGGCGGGCCCAGCACCATGGGCGCCCGCATTCATGGCCCCGAGCCACAGGGCTCCCAGTTTATAGTGCTGGGGTGGGGGTGGGGAGCGGGGGAGGAGTCCACCACCCACAACTTCTGTGTACTCTTCTGGAAGCAAACCTGCCACAGGTGGCCACCCCCCAGGACCGCCGCTTCCTCCAGGCCGTCAGCCTCATGCACGCAGACTTTGCCCGGCTGCCTGCTCTGTATGAGATGACCGTCAGGTGAGTGTTCCCCAGGGTCACTCCTGAAGTCCTGTCCCAGGGGCCCGGGCCACAGCTGTATTCATACTCCAGTGATTGTCCTTAGGGCCTCCTTTTATCCACTCCCCTGCCTGCCCACCACCACCTCCTCCCATGGGACAAAGGGCCTCTGACTCTGGCCAGAGGTGATGCCCGAGTGCTGCTGTTGCCCACTCACTTGGGTCATGTGATCACAGAAACAGATTGGCACAAAACCATGAGGTAAAATATGTGCCTCCCCTCACCCATCACACACCCAAAAGATTCCCACAGTAATAGTCTGGTGTCTCTAACTCCAGGTTTTGTTGTTGTTGTGGGGTTTTCTTTTTTGGTTAGAAAATAGAGATTGCTAGTATTTTAGTCGTTTTAATCATTTTTCTTCTAGAAAACAGGATCACACTAATATATTGTTTTACAAGTTCCTTTTTTCACTTTACTGTATATCTTAAGCATCTCTACATCAGTAGGCACAGATCTATAAATTAGTATTGTACTTTGTAGTATTTAACAAACTGAATTCTATTTTTTCTCCCTACATGCTTCTCTTTCGAAACCAGTAGGAGAAAATAAGGCAAGTTAGAGGGTCAGGAGGGGAGGGTGTGCTGTGCTGCTTAGTCCTTGGAATGATTTGGACAAGTGCATTTCTTTGTCCTTGTTGTACAAACAAGGATATTGAGGCACAAACAGGATAAGCAACTCGTCCCAGCGTCACATTCTGAGTAAGTGGCAGAGTGAGGATTTGAACCCGACTCTCGCCCTGAAGTGCACATTCTCTTCTGCACATTTCCATCTCAGGGGCAGCGGTCAGAGTGGTTGAGAGGGAGGGGTGTGGGTTTGGCCAATGCCCTGCACACTGGGGTTTCAGTCACCTCTGCCACCCAGGACCATCTCCAGCTAGTATTCCAGTATATCTTTCCATAAAAAATGTGCCTTCTCTGGCTTTAAGTCAGAGCTGCTCCAGGCCAGCGACCTAGATGAATACGTAGTTACTGGTTTGGGAACCAGTTGTGTTGGGTGTGTGGGGATCTGTCCTGAGAGGGATAGAAATAAGTGAAATGTCAGCCTGTGATCCATCAACCAACTAATGGCCCTGCAGTATTGCTTTTTTTTTTTTTTTAAGATTTTATTTATTTGAAAAAGAGAACACAAGTAGTGGGAGCTGCAGAGAGGAGAGGGAGAGGGAGAAGGTGACTCCCTGCTGAGCAAGGAGCTTTTGTGTGCTCAATTCCAGGACCCTGAGATGATGACCTGAGCTAAAGACAGATCCTCACCCGACTAAGCCTCCTAGGCATCCCTCCCTGTGGTATTTCACTTTCCTTGGGGCGGAGAGGGTTTTAGAGTTGGGATACATGGCTTATTTTAAAAGTTATAGAAATGACGGCCACCATTTCTTAACCCCTCACCATGTGCTAAACAACTTATATGTATTTTGCTCATTTGGACTCTTAAAAAATCTCAGGGATGGGATTCACTATTATCCTATCCATTTTACAGATGTGGAGTTTATACCTGAGACTGAGAAAGGATGAGTAATTTAGCCAGGGGCATGCAGCTAGGAAGCCACAGGGTAGGGATCAGCACTAGGCCGTGATGCTCCGTCTCCGTGGCTGTGATGACTTGCTTATGACTCATCCTGCTGGTCCGGCGAGTGGCACAAAACACCTAGGCCAGATGGGCTCTTCTGGCCCCTTGAGCTCCCGGAGGGAGAAGCTAGAGGAGGATGGCATTCTCCCTCCTCACCTGGAAGCAGAGATCCCAGTGAGGGGGCCCTAGTGGCCCCTGACTCCACCTTCTTTTACTAGATTTGGGGAAATAGACTGAGGCAGGCAGGATCAAGGAACCAGATGGTTGTCTGGCCCCAGAGTCACTTCTTCCCTAGTGGACCCTCATCCCTCCCTCTGCTTCTGTGACAGGTTTCCCATTAGAAACCTGCTCCCTGCCCTCACTCCCTCCACTCATCCAGCTGCCTTCCACAGACGGTCCGTACTCATCAGCCTGGAAACATCACCCAGCCCTGTGCCGCCAGGGCCTCGTCTGTCAGATAGGGTCGCACCTCTGCTGCATAAGGCTGGTGAATCAGCCAGGCTGCTTGAGAGCGTTTGCATAGTTGGGGTTCCACCAGCAAAATGTGCACCCATTAGACAGTCGCAGCTCCAGTGAGTCGAAAAGAAAGAGAAATGGTTATAGGCACTAAGGCCTGGAACTCAAGTGCAGACATTGAACCCCAAGCCATGGCAGCCGCACCCTACGTCCATTAGTGTCGCTGGGCTACTGCCATGCACCTGTCAAGGTCTCTGTGGTCAGAGGCCTGCACAGGCAGCATGGGACGGAACAGTCACCCCCCACCTCCTCCCCCCGCCAGGAACGCCTCCACAGCAGTGTACGCCTGTTCCAATCCTGCCCAGGAGACCTACTTCCAGCAACTGGCAGCAGCCGCACGCAGCTCCGGCTTCCCCAGTCCTCAGGACGGCGCCTTCAGCCTCCCGGGCAGAGCCAAGCAGAAGCTGCTGAAGCACGGGGTCAATTTGCTGTGACCTGGGCCGCAGTGGGAACCTCATGACCCCGGGTGAGCACTAGCAGATCAAGTACCAGCAAAAAGGAAGCTCTGCCTTTTTAAACAGAAAAGGGTCCCTCTGTTTTCCATTTCTTGGTATATTCCTGTTTTTAGGAACTGTGATGATATGTGTCTGTTACCTCCTTTTGTAGACTGAGTTTTGAGTGGGGAGTTCTTCAGGTCAGCAGACCTAGAGCACGAGATGAAGAGTTTTGTTACATTGGCCACATTGGCTTTGGCTTTGTGGCTCCTTGTACCAAAGATGGGGCAGGGCCAGGTCGTGTGCCTGTCACACTGCGTCCGAGGCACCTGGTATTTCTCATTGCTATTCCATCGAGGCCTTAACTAGTACCATGAACATTCTGGTGAGTGTTTTCTCCAGAACCCTGTTGTACGGAGTCCAGTGGACAGTATGGGGCAGGGCTGTGCAGGGGGGTTGGAAGTTGTCAGCAAGCAGTCCGGGACTTCCACACCTCAGGTGGGTGTTCCTCAGAGTGGTCTTCCCAGGAGGTCTGGACTCTGGATGCAGGGAGGCAGGCAGTGATGTCGAAACCACCTTATTTGCATTCTTCTGGAATTATATTTAAACCCAGGAGCCTGTTCTTTGGAACCCCCACAGTGGGGGCAGATCTTGATAATGTGGAAGGGAGCCTGGGGTTTTGAGGTAACTCTTAAGACCAGGGAAATAGGTGATGGCACACCAGCCTGTGCTCCTTTGCTGCAAGGTGGGCCAGGCGTTGGCCCCTCATGAGTGAGTGTCCTCAACGAGGAGTTTCCAGAATGTCTGGGACAAAAGCAAAAGTGTGCTGCCCAGGGGTGGCTTTGTGAAGGGGTCTGGCTGTCATCTGTGTTCCTGCCCATGTTACAGGCAGATGGTTTATGATAATGTGATGCAGATCACAGCATGAAATATTCACCAGAGCCTTAACTGTTTACTGGAAGTACCCGAGATCCCATTTGAAAACTGCAATGTTAATAATTTCATATCGGCGAACAAGTATCTAATGTTGGTGACTGTCTTTTTCTTGAAATGAGTTGTCAAAGGCTAAAAATAAAACAGTCGAAAATGCTATTGAGCCGTGAGTAATGCTGACCTCTCCAGTGACAAGGTTAGGGGAAGGGTTAAGATATTTTATAAGTGTGTGTGTGTGTGCGCGCGTGCGCGTGCATGCACGTGTGCTTGGCATGGATGCATTTCTCTTTGCCGTGGCCTGAGCTGGTGCGGGCAGGTGAGGAGAGGCGCACTTCAGAACGGCCTGTCTGCAAGGATGATGGGTTGCAGCCACTGATCCAGCTTCAGTGTGGCTGGCCCAGCGCACCAGGCCCAGTTACCCTTCCTCCCTGGGGTCCCTCATGCTACTGGCTGGCCTGAGAGGGCCATCTTCCCAGATGGAGGAGGATCATACTTCAAGCTAGGGTAGACGTGTACTGTCTCCTGCTCTGCTAAATTCTTCAAGGAAAAAGTCTACAAGTCTCCGTGCTAACCTGTCAAGGAGTGTTCCCACGAAGGACCATCATAGAACATGGTCCTCTTCTCGTGTGGGGTGATTTTCCAGCAGCCAAACTTTTCCTTTTGCTCACTGGGGCTCCAGAATTCTGAAGTCCTCACATTTGAGCTCAGTGACATTGACACCTGTCACATGATGAAACGGCGACAGAATTTGGAGCCCAGAACCCATTTTCATCTGCCTGCTCATAGCTTAAACTAAGAACTCTTCCCAATCAGATCTGTTTTATGAGAAAATCAATCGCTTGCCTGTCACTGGGCCCTTTCCCAGATGTCATGCCATCTGCAAACCTTAATGTTACTGGGTCTGCTTTCAGAAACCTCTCTCCCCATCTACTTTCTCAGAGCTGCCCTTGAGCCTAAAAACACTCAACACAAAATGCCTTTGTTTCTGAGAACTCGTGCTCTAGGCAGCCACATGCTTCCCCTTTAGACCTTACCCCAAAGTTAAGTCTTAACTGTTATCGGAAAGCATGAGATCAACCCGCCAGGATGTGAAGACCCATACACAGTGGTCATTTCAAAATATGTCCACAAATTCTTTGCTGCAAGTGAGAGACCTACCTCCTCCCTTGAGCACGGGCTATATACTTAGTGATCTGTTTCTAACAAATAGAACATGGTCAAAACAACAGTATGACTTCTGGGAGCAGGTTATACAACACATGGTGGCTTCCATCTCTCTCTTGGTTCGCCTCATTTGGGGGAAGCTGACATTCAGGCAGCCCATGGAGAAGCCCTTGTGGTGAGAGAGCTTTCTTGCTCCAGCCCCAATCAAGCCTTCAGATGAGTGCAGCCTTATGAGAAATTGAATGAGAACCATCAAGCTAAGTTGCTTCTGAATTCCCAGTCTTCCAAAGTGTGTGACACAATAAATGTATGTGGCTCTAAGCCACTGTCTGGGGGTCATCTGTTACACAGTGATAGCTAACTCAGACCCTTGTATGCCAATAGCCCACCAAACTAGGTTCCTTACAGCTTTGGCACAGGGGGCCAAGTGCTAGACACAGCTGCAGGCTCAGGTCTCCACTACCCCCTTTCCCCATGTGGGAGAGTTGGGCTGGATGACAGGAAGATGCTAAGAGCACTCCCTCAGCTTTCCTCCTACAGTTTCCAGAGCTTGACATTAATAGTCAGCTGGGTCCCCACTTCCTCAGTCCAGCCTTCCAGGAACCCTGCCCCCTCCTCAGTCCAGCCTCCCAGGGACCTCCATGCTGGCCACCCTTCTCTGAAAGTGGGCATCCACCCACATGGCCCCAAGCTCCCAGCCTTCCTGGCCCAACCTTGGCCCACTTCTCTGGGAGGCTTGTGGTGGAGGCGCGTGGGCACCCATGAAGCTTTCTCCTACAGGTTGAGGAAACTCATTAGGGAGCCGGAGGATGGGCAGCACCATGGGGGAAACTGGGAAGGTCCTTCAAGATGATTGATCATTCCTCAGTCCTAGGATGCAGGTCTTAGAAATAGGAGGGGGAGGACACAGGAGGAAAGGGGGAAGGGTCAGCCCCCTCACCTTTCTTCTTGTCCCAGGGCTGGGGAGCAGCCTGGAGAGTGGCCTCCATGGTGTGCATTTCCAGTGTTCCTGAAGCCTCGAACAGCTCACCTCACCGTCACCCCTGCCCAGCACCCTGGGCTCTCAGCTGTGGCTGCTTCGGCACATTGCCCTCCGGCTCCACCTTGCCCTCAGCCAGTGTCCCCCCCAGCACCAGACCAGAGAAGACAGCTTCATAAAGTCATTTACGTCTGCTGTCCACCAAGACGGGGACTTTGCAAGTCCTATTCCTTGTGTATGGAAAAGGACCCCCCCCCCCCCGCCCTCCCTCCCGAGTTGCTGGAGTCTGCAAACAGGTGCAGACATACCGCTTCCCTTTGCTCTTCTGGGCCCATTGACTTTCTGCAGTGGAGCTCAGCTTGGTGACCTCAGTGGCAGCCTTGACTGTGACTGTGGCCCAGAGGCTGCTGGAGGGGCAGTGCTCAAACCCTTGTCTTCCTGCTCAGTACTGCAGTTCTGGTGGTTATGAGGACATCACATTGTGACAGTCCTGGGCCCATGCCCTCAAAATTAGCTTCTAGACTAGAGGTTCCCGAGAGTGAGGGCCCTTCTGCTAGAGTGGGCCCTGTGCCCCCATAGTGGTGCTCCCCCAGGGAGGTGGCATTTACAGACAGAACCTACTCTGACTCGGTTTAGAGGTGACACCAGAGTGCCCCCATGGTGCTGGACAGCAGCCTTCTTTATGTGAGCAGGGAACACAGGATGATGAGGAAGTGAAAGGGTCTGTTCCGGGCCAGTCCGTGCTGGCTGCCCAGCGTCTACTACTTGTGAACATTAAGGATCAAGTTCCCATGGTGTGATTGATATTGACAATCAGATTCCTGCCAGGAAAGGACCTCTGGTCCCTCGAGGGGCCACTAAGCCTAATCAAACTGCCTCCCCGCTGGAGGGAAGCATTCGGGCTCGCTGGCTCTTGTCACCTTGGCAGCAGCAGCACATGGGACCTGGCTGCCGTCACCCACTCGTGTCTCTCTAGAGTGTCAACCCCACAGTGGTCCTTTCCAGAGCTGCTCTCGTGCCCTTCACACCCCCACCGATACTGCTTTCCTAACACCCCACCCCACCAGTGTGAGCAGGGGCCACACGCTTTACACTGCGTCAATGGTGGCCCCCCCAAAGGTACCGCCTCTTCATCCTCTGAACCTGTGTTAAAGGTAAAGGTTCCGTTGGTGTGATTAAGAATCTGGAGATGGGGCAGCCGGGTGGCTCAGCGGTTTGGCACCTGCCTTTGGCCCATGGCATGATCCTTGGGACCTGGGATCGAGTCCCGCATTGGGCTCCCTGCGTGAAGCCTGCTTCTCTCTCTGCCTCTCTGCCTCTCTGTCTCTCATGAATAAATAAATAAAATCTTAAAAAAAAAAAATCTGGAGATGCAGAGAACACTCTGGATTATCCCAGTGCCATCACAGGAGTGCTGATCAGAGAGGCAGAGGAAGCCGATTCTCATTGAAAGGAGGGGGCATGGAGGTGGAGGCTGGAGTGACAGGGCCACAAGCCAGGGCCACCAGATGCCTCAAGAGGCGAGGGATGGATTCAGCCCAAGAGCCTCGGAGGCAGTGCCACTCCGGTGACGTCCTGATAACGGGTCCAGTGAAAGTGATCTTGGACGCAGGCCTCCGAAGTGTGAGAGAATACAGTTGTGTTGTTTTGAGACGTGTTTGTCCTGGCAATTTCCAGCTCCCCGGCTTTGGACGGTGTGGTGCCGCCACCAAGAAGCCCTGCCTGGTTGCAGAGGTGCTGGGAATTTATCCTGGGGCAGAGGGGGAGCTGAACTCTGAAGCAGGGGTGTGACTCGATGGGACTCTCAGGAGAAAGGGCACTGGCTCCTGAATGGATGAGAAGCAGGGCAACAGGAGGGGGAGGTCCCTGTCCCCCCACCCCTCCCCACCCCAGCCGCCCAGCGCAGCCCTGGGCCCTCGTGAGGAGACTGGGGAGGGAGGGTGCCCGCTTAACACTTGTCAGCTAGGCTGAGGAGAAAAAAGATACTCTGGATCTTTTCTCAATGCGTCTGGTGAATTTGGGAAGCTTAAGGTAAAGGTTCTCAGGGCTTTGAGATTTTTAAAAAAGGACATTTCCTCTCCGTTTATTTTCCACATCTGAATCTGAAATCAGCTGTATTTCTCCTGGGGGAAAAAATCCACAGTGCTTGTGAATCGTGTGGGAGCCCAGAGGCCGCTCCCCTGACTGCCCGTGTGAACGCTTCTCCCACGCTCCAGGGGCAGGGCCTGCTACACCCCGGGAAGCCCCCTGGGCAGGGGCGGGGGGTGGGGACAAGCACCCCCCACCTCCCATGCGCTGGTGGAAAGGCCCCCTGGATGTCCTTTCTCCAGGTGGCCCAAAGGGGCTCCTGTGCCGATGGAAGCACAAGGGCTTTGGTGTCAGGGCCCCGGGGGACTCAGATCACACCTCTGACTCACTGCTGTGGAAATGGCCTCGTGACTTTATTTCTTGGAACCTCAGTGTTGTCTTTGAAGTGGAGGGGAAAAGGTAATTCTGTAAATGGTGTGGCATATTGTGGGGAGCCCCCAGAAAGTGGGGTTGAGTGTCCCGAGAGAACAGATGGCTCTGTGCGAGCCATGGAGATGAGGCCTGAAAGTATGCCTGGGGTTCCACAGGCTGCCAGACCACGCGTTTGGTGCCTGGCTTCTAGTTCCAGCTCGTCCTCCAGCTGGCCACACGACCTTGGTTATGGCCACTGCCGCCCTCAGCCGCCGCTTTCTGGGTCAATGCATGCAACTGTCTCTGTTTACCCCAGTGGGCCCCAAGTACCCATGGGGCAATAATACATGCAAAGGAATCTTCTAGAGTGCACGTGCTCTCTGCCCCCAAGGAAGAAAGCTCTCTCACCTTGGATCCAGGGTGGCTGACGCATCAGATGTGGAGAAATGAGGGGAAGGGTAGGTGATCTGAAGTTAGGACCGACGGGTGTGCCTGGGAAGGAGGCAGAAAGTAAATCAATCTCTGTGTGTGTTGCCTCCTGCCACCTAATGCTACAATCTGCTTGAGTGTTTCCACTGCCATCTGTCAGCAGCCCGAAAATATATGGCCTTATTCTGTCCTGTTCCCTGTGTTTACATCTGGTTAAGCAAGATTTAGCTGGGAGGTAAATCACAGGGGGAGGCTGCTGGCAGCAGGGCCCCATGGTCCTCACAAACAGCATTTTGTACTAAGCCTTTGCTTCTCTGGTTTACATTTAAAAACTATGTATGGCGGACGCCTGGGTGGCTTAGTGGTTTAGCACCTGCCTTTGGCCCAGGGTGTAATCCTGGAGTCCCAGGATCGAGTCCCACATCAGACTCCCTGCATGGAGCCTTCTCCCTCTGCCTCTCTCTCTGTCTCTCTCATGAATAAATAAAATAAATAAAAACTATGTATGGAGCACTTCCTATTCACACAGAACTTGACATCCTATGATCTTACTCAAACCTCACTTTAAGCCTATGAAAGTGGCAGTGAAGCACATTTTACAGATGAACCCCAGAGTGGGTTGGGACTTTCTGGTGGCAAGGGATAGCAACCACAACTCCAGTTCGGTTTCAGAATAAAAAGGGAGTGTATTGGCTCACGGGTATGGCAAGTCCGGTGGTAGGGCTGGCTCCAGGCAAAGCTACGTTCAGGACTCAGGTGATCTCCTCACGGTGGAACCTCCTTTTCTCTGTGGGTTTCACTCTCAGATTTTCTTTACACTAGATCCTGAGCTCTACTCCATGAAAAGTGGCCTTTCTTTCTCAATGATCTTAGGGAAAGAACCGGATCATGTCCCCAGCCCTGACCCAGTCGCGGAGGGCCAGGAGTATGGAATAGGCTCTGATTGGTCAGGTCTGGATGGTGAGCCCAGTCTTGCAGCTGGGGCTGGTCAGATCCTAGAAACCCCAAAACTAAGAGTGCTACATCTTGCAGGAGGTTCAACAGGGTACCATTAGAGGAGTGTTACAAATAGCAGCCATCCTCTAGAAAGCCGGGTTAGGTCGCCTGCCCAGTGTCACACAGGGGCACAGCCTAGACTTAACCTGGAGCTGGCTGGTTTCAAAGGCTTTGTCATTCTTGCGTGGGCAGTGACCCTTGGCCCCAGCTACACATTAGAATCAGGGCAGGAAATGTGTTAAAACAAGTACTGAGACCCGGGCCCCACCCTGGAACAAAGAAATGGGATGCTTTGTGGGGGATTGGGGTGCAGGCATCAAAATTTCTCAAACTCCCCAGGTGATTGTATTGTGCAAAGTCAAGAACTGGCAGATTAGGATCACCTTTCCACTCCCCCGCTATCTGTTGTAGGCCATTCAGTGTGCCACGTGTGGTCACTGTACACAGAGCCCAGACCATCTGGGTGAGCATGGGGCGATAATGAGCAGGTGCCTGGGAGCCCTGGTATGTGACCTGTGCAGTCTGGGCTTGAAGGCGGTGCAGGCTGTCTGGGTGGAAGCAGGGCTTCTCATCTGAAGCTGGGCGGGCACGCTGGCTCCCCTTTCTCACCTTGAGCATCCTTAGCTGTAGCGTGTAAATTATTTTAGCAATTGCCTAGTTGGCAATGCACACTTGAGGAGAGCGAGAAACATCTCAGCCCGGGGCAAGTGGTGCTCCCCCCTTCCACTTGCTGAGGGAGCCCGGCCAGGGCTGCGGCTGGAAGTACCCCTGCTAGGAAAACAAGCAGCTGGGTTGCTCCTGGGGCCCCAGGCCACCAGCGTCACCTACCTCTCTTTAAAAGGAAAAAATTGGGCAGCCCGAGTGGCTCAGTGGTTTAGCGCCGCCTTCAGCCCAGGGCCTGATCTTGGAGACCTGGGATCGAGTCCCACGTCCGGCTCCCTGCATGGAGCCTGCTTCTCCCTCTGCCTGTGTCTCTGCCTCTCTCCCTCTCTCTCTCTCTCTCTCTCTGTCTCTCATGAATAAATAAATATTAAAAAAAAAAAGGAAAAAATTCAAAATGTAGCTTCTGAGAGATCTGCTTCTTCCCCCGTAGTTAGGCAGTGGAAAGGAGCCCCTGGCTCCCCTGGCAACCTCCACCACTGATCAAAAGTGTCTATCTGCCTCTTCCTTACCTGCCCTGCTCCTCACCTGCTCACAAACACCATGGCAGAAAGGGGACCGTCACTGCTGCTGTGTGCGCCAGGCACCACCTCTGCAGTGGAGCAAACTGAGGCTCCCGGAGGCTCCGTGACTTGCTCAAGATTGGGTGGGAGCAAGCTCCTGGCACGGAGTCCCGAGTCCCCCCTTTCCCTAAAGCCACGATTCCTGTTCTCTGCCCAGCGTACCATTTAGAGTCCCTCACGTTCCAGGGCTCTGCTCCCGTCAGCCCACACGCGTTACTGGAGAACTGCGTTTTGCTTCACTCACCATATCACCATATACACCAGAGCCTATGGGGCCCCACTCGTCTCTGCGACACAATCCAAAAGCCAAGAGCCTCCGACTCCTAGCATCTCCTGCCAAGTTCCCTCTTTTCCCCAACACACCACTTTAGCAGGTCACTCTGGTTTTCAGCAAGGTCCTTTATTTATCTCCTGTTCCCCAAGCACGGCACATGAGCTCAGGTAGCCGCGTACCTGTGTGGGCTGCGGGCTTTGTAAACGGAGAGCAGTCAGTATGTATAGAAATCATGCACCTCGGTGATTCCGGAACAAGATACTTAATGAGTAAAAAGATTTCAGGTGTGTTTGAAATTGCTGCCCTGTCCTGCATTCTGATCACGGAAAAAAACATCTGTGTAGAAATTTTACTCAAATGGAGACAGGTTTTTCTTTGCTCACTTGCCAGTAACTGCCTAGTGCATTGCAGATCATGGTCACTTCCGACAGCTGTTCCTCCCAGAAGCTTCTGGTTTCCATTTGGACAAATATGAGACCTGTGTATGTGACAAGCTGTATATCTCACACCACTCCATGGCTTTATAAACTGGACACTGCCTGTGACACATTATCCAAAAAAAGGCAACTTTAAGACAGCTGGAAGGCTATTCTTGCACACCTCAGCTCACAGGCGAGTGTTTTTAGAATCAGTGCCTCTAACTGGCCGTGTCCTTCACAGGAGACCAAAAGGCCAGCACTGCCACGCAGGTCTTTTGGGTTTGTAGGTCTTCACAAAGGCCTCTCTCACACCCACTGGCTTAGGTCACTGTCACCCGGCATGCAACCCTATGCAATGACAAAGACACACGGGGCGGACACCTCCACTCTCTCTGAGTCCAGCACTCGAACATTTATGTACAGACAGATAAATGGAAAATCATAGGCAACAGAACTCCAAAGCAAAACAGACACTTTTTTGGTCAGATCTACGATTCCAGTTTTGCCAGAGGAAGGTGTTTCTGGAATGTCACCGGATGAGCGCGGTCTCACCACACCACAGTTCCTAGCAGCCAACCTGCTGGTCTCAACGTTCATCACCGTGGACTCAAAACAGCTGCACGGAGAATTTTCCGGGCCTGGTTTGGCAGTAGGGCTTCTGTAGGCAGTGAGGTAAGTAGATCACACGTTCTGCAGCTGATCCGTGGGAGCCCTGACTTGGCTCTCGAGGACACCAGACTCAGCTTGGAAGGAGAGCAGTGTTTACAGAGAAGGCTCCAGTCCCACCAGCCAAATTCTCCCCACCGTCAGGGACCTGATGGGGTTCAGAGTGAGGTGAGCGATGGTGACAAGTCTGCTCAGGCCCAGCCGTGTGCACCGCCCCTGACGCCGGCTGGGTGTGGGGATTGCAGACTCTCCCCCTGCCACGGGGGAGGTGGGTGGGCTGGAGGGTCCCCTGTGTGACCATGACAGCAACAGAGGCCAAGGTCTCTAGCTCTCTGGTTTGCAGTTTTTTGTTTTGTTTCATTTGTTGTTCTTTATGATGACCACAAAGAGTTTTACGTGATTACATTCAGACAACCATTTGGTTACTCTATTTCAGAGCACTGAAAAAACCAGGTAGCAAGACGGCGCAGACGACAGGGACCAAGCCTCTGGTCACAGAGCAAAGGAATGCGCTATTAGGCAGAAAGGAATCGCAGAAGCAAATGACTGGAAGGAACAACAACAACAAAAATCTAAGGAGATACAAGCTGAAAATTTCCCATTTACAACAACCAAAGGAAGGAGGGACCCAACGTGATCTCAAAACCCCAAATAAGAACTTTCTGTTGAGGCAGGTTTCTGAACATGGAATCACGGCACGGGTGGGGGCTGGACTGTACCCCAGGTTGTCCAGGCTGACCCGTGGCCAAGGTCGCCGACTCCAGCACGGGAAATGTTCTCATCGTCCCGGAGCAAAGATGAAATCCAGGGCCTGGCGTTCGGCTGCTGCCACATTGGGATGCCACAAATCCACCATGAAAACCACCCGTGGGCCATCCTCTGCGGAACCTGGGGGTTGGGGAGGCACAAGAGAGATGAGGTTTGAACCTTCCCAGAGCCAGGACCCACGTAGCACTGGACCCCACACAGTTAGCTTCTGGGTAGGGACCCATCCTGACCCCTGGCAGGGATGGGATGGTCTCCTCCTCTCTGAACAAGAATGTTATCCTGGCTTCATAAGATTCTGGGTGGGGCAAATGAAAGGAGGCACTGGGAGGCTGGAGGGGGAGGCAGGGAGGGCGGGAGGAGTGAGTGGTAGGTGGAGCACGGAGGGGTTTTTAGGGAAATGAAGCTATTCTGTATGATCCTGTCAGGGTGGATCCATGTCATTATACCTTTGTCACACCTACAGGACATTCAGCAGCAAGAGTGAACCCTAATGGAGACTACAGAGCTTAAGCAATAATAGTAATGTGTCGATACTGGCTCATCATTTGTAGCAAATGTAGCACACTAAAGCAAGATGGTAAACGAAAGGGGAAACTGTGTGTGTGGAGGGGTGGGGGCAGGGGGGGGAGTATGTACTTTCTGCTCAATTTTTCTGGAAACTTAAAACCATGCGAAACACATACAGTCTGTAACAAACAAAAAGCAGCACTCACCTTCATGGAATGCAGTGTGCAGGAAAGAGTCATCAAAGAGGAGGCAGCGTCCTTCTGCCCAACACTGGGGCTCTCCCCCCACCACCAGCTCGCAGCCACTTGGAGTTTTGAGACCTTTCGGGGGAAAGCGGAGAAAAGAGAATAAGGCAGGTGGCATAGGGGATGGCCTGTGCTGGTGGGAGTTCTTCACTTCCGAAGCAGCCGACCTTCCACCTCACCCCTTGGAGCCCTGTTTGGGGTGGAGGCAGGGTACTCTGACAGGGCAAACACAGGCTACATAGCACCCCGACCATACTGAGCTCCCTGGAAAAATACATTCCTCCCTTGGTTTAATCTGCTCTGGGTCATGGGCTGCTCAGTGAGGCTGGCACTGAACTTTTCGAGACTCCTGAGGCTCATCTGTAAGTTCCCCCCCTTAACTGAGGAAGGTCCATAACTCACGTGGCCCAATAACTGTGTTCATTACAGCCCGATCTCTAGGGCTGTTTTGGTTGAGATGAAACAGTGCCCTCATCTTTGGGTTCCAGGCTTTAGATCCATCTTGGGGTCTGAGGATGGGCATGTGGTTAGTCTAAGCTCCTCCAGCCTCCCTCTGGGAAGCTGGGAGGTCACCCCTGAGGCAGTGCCGGAGCTCCAGGAAGCGGGCCCACACCTTCACAAGGAGCCATATGCTCACAACTGTAGGCAGTGGCTGCCAAGTTGGGGGGCCTAACCCCCAAAAGAGGACTTGGCTGAAATGCTGCTGTACATACAGTTTCACGTCCCCGTCTCCCACCTGATGATCTGGGGAAACACTGGGTCCCTGTCACCGCCTGGACGTCTATAAACGAAGGCACCACCACGGACATGAAACAGATACATGAGGGGATGGGTGGGCCCCGCGACTCTCAGGAAGGATGGATTGGGAGGAAGCAGGGCCCTGGCAGAGGGGGGTGGGATCATGGTGTTCTTGTCTGTCTCTGGTGACTAATGGCACAACCATGACATGGGACTAGTTGGCGCTGCCCCTTACAAATGACTACTTACAAACATGAAACAGGGTTCTAACTGAGCATTTTAATGCACCTCTTGAACCAGAAACGGACAGCTCCTGGAAGTATGTATGGGGTAGGAATTCACACTGAGGCCACTGGAGGAGTGGCGAGGATGAGGACTTGGGGTCAGATGACTGACTCTGATTCTTCAGTGCCCCAGGGCCTTGGGCAAGTCACTTAACCTCTCTGAGCCACAGTTTCGTCGTCTATAATGGGGGAACCTTAGCGCACTTGCCTTCGGGGCTCTATGTGACCACTGTCCTTGCTACCAAGACCGTACAGACTGCCTTGAGCGCAGGTTTGGGCTGAATTAGCAGTTTTCAGACATCACATCACCCGTTCTCCAGATGGGAGCAACTGAGATTCAGAGAAGTGACCTGCCTGAAGTTTGCTCCTCAGTCCTGGTGGGGACATGAGATCTGAATCCAAATCCGTCTGGTTCCGAGGAACAGGCTCTTCTTAAACCACTGGACAGTATGTCAGTAGCAATGGTATGAAAGCGACTGTCCATTCTTACAGTTAATGTTTCCACTATCAGTAGGACACCTCGTTGCATCAGGCGAGAAGGGTCCCTCGGACTCCAGAACCATCATCTCTCATCTCCCACTACCGTAACAACTGCTGAGGGTGGGGTGGGGTTAGGGCTGCGATGGACCCAGAGAGCCCTCACTGACTGGTTCAGGAGGACAAGGCTGTTAGGTCTCGGTGGCTCTCTGCAAGGACACTCCACCCCAGGGCTTCAGAAGAAGCTCTCCTTTCTCTGGGCCGCTAAATGATTCACCACTGTGCACGACAGTACGCTAGAAAAATGGTCTGGTGTGCTGGCTTGAGAGCCCCCTGCCCCCTTTCCTCTGCCTTCCCCTTTCACCGTGGCTTCCAGCTGCCCATCATTCCTGCTTACTGCCCGCAAACCCCCTCAGTTGGCAGAAATGATCAATTCTCTCCCAGACAGAGTGTTCAGAGATCGGCCCCACGTCCTCTGGCTGAGGGCTTGCTGTTTGCCCTCACCAACCACTCAGCGAGGCAGGTCAAGGGCGCAGAAAGGGCTCTGTGTGGCGGCGGCCCCCACTTCCAGATGCCAGAGGCTGGCACTCAGGTGGTCACGGCACATCCAAGCTGCTCCGCCAGGCCCACCCTGCCAGACGGCCGAGAAACCCAACAACAGACACGTGAAAGGCAACGAGAGTCTAATTGTGCTTCTTTAGCAAGAATCTGCTGAATGTGCTCGTGCATTTTCATCTACCCTTTCCTGGGGGTTGGCCCTGTGGAAGGACATCCCCCTCCCCAGGAAATCTGCCTCATGAGCCTTGGAGGTTGCTTGCTGGAGGTCTGGGTTTGGCAGTGCAGTTTGGACATCCCAGCATGGCTGGAGCTCGGAGCTGTCTCATGGCTCTATGCGGGGTCCAGACCCAGTGACCCCCACCGCCCCCAGAGGCAGCTCAGCACAGTCCTTGGCGCGTGCAGGGACTGGGTGAATGCACAACGGTCACTGGGGTTTCAGGTGTCTGCAGGGTCAGCCCGACTAGTCACAACTCCGATGGATGGCCTGGTTCCGGAACTGCAGGGGCCTCCTCCACTCCAGCCAGGTGAGCTGGCAGGGGGCGTGGCCACCGGACCAGACTCCCTCCCTCTCTGGCAACACCCAAGGTCAAACACACCTTTGTTTCATTCCCAGGTGGGTATGAACGTGCGCATGCCAGCAGAAAGAAGGAACACTGAGCAAACCCGCCCAGGGAGCTTGCCCCGGCCGTGGGGAAGCAGCCACAGTCCAGCGGGACTCCTTCCAAGAGAACATGACACGGCCCAGTTTTTCTGGTGGCAGCAACTAGCTGGGCTGAGAAGCGAATGACAGGTCATCCGGAGGGCCCGTGTGGGCATGGTTTACACTCACACGTGCGCCACACAGCAGCACCACAGGCCTTCACACGCAGGGCAAATCCTAGGTGTTCTGGCCACCCGCCCTTGCTACTCATCTCCTATTCCTGGAATTCTACATCAGTCTGCAAACGCTCTTCCCTGTGAGTTACTCTGAAGCTTTTTAAAAACATACAAAGAAAACCTTTGAAAAAGGCACAGCACTGCTCCTTATTGCCCACAGCCTCAATCCCCAAGCCTGGCATGGGGCCCCCCTGCCTCACTGCAGCTCACCCAACCTGTCTGACCTCAGCCCCGACCCTGGATGCCACAGCCAGCCATGTAGGCCGCTTGGCTTGGATCAGGGAAGGCTCCTTTGCTCCACCCTGGCAGCCCTGGCAGCCCCAGCAGCCCCCCGGCAGCTCCCCACGCTCGGATCTGAGCCCCTCTGCGCAGGGACTTCACTGAGATCGCTCAGATAGCCACCTCAGCTTCTCGATTAATCAGAGTGCCCTTTACCTGACTGCCTTCTACCTGCCCATACTTCCCATGGGCTGCTTTTAATCCTCCAGAGAGCCCCGAGGCATGTACCATTACCTCTGTTCTAGGGGCTCAGGGTTTCGAGGTCCCAGCCAAGAGCACTCGGCAGATGGGGCCCATCGAGCTGAGTCCAGGTGCTCTTGCTTCCGAAGCCCAGTCATTTCCCACTGTGTCCTGAGGACCCACATCTTAGGGATCCTTTCCTAGACTGTCCGCACGGGTTTCATAACACAAACCACTAGCTACCACCGCTGTCCATGCCAAGTAGTCACAGGAGATCCCACTTTATTTAACCCTGTCAGCGATTCTGAGGTAAGTGCTACCTCCCCATTTTACAGATGAGGAAACTGGGGCACAGAGCGACTCAGTTACTTGCCCAGAGTCCCAGGGCTGACCGTGAAGCCAGGCCACCGCCTCTGGCACCTCTGTCCTCTCCTGTCTCTGCTCTTGAAATACTCATCGTGTTAAGTGCTCGAATCTAGTTGTTTTTCAAAGTGGCGAAGCCCTCTGTCCAAGTCACGTTTTGCTCAGAATCCCCACATGGGGTGGGGGAAGCAGAAGGTTCCAGGGGAAGCAGGGCTGGACCGTCTGAGGTGTCTGGCTCAGGTCCCCCCCAAGGCTGCCTTGATGCTCCTCTACAGAACACTTAGGAACTCCTGGCTCCAGCTTAGAGCGGGGCTCCTCTGTGTGTGCTTTTTCTTCCTCTGTTCCAAAGCCAAGGCAGCCAGCACTGCAAACTTCCTGAAGCTGGACCTTGCCCGGGCTCTGGGCACACCGCCCTAGTCGGGGATGCTAACTGGTGGTGCCACTGCCCCAGTAACCAACCCATTATCATGACTCACCAGGAACAGGGCATTCTGGGGAACTACCAGCCCTATGTACTGAGTTGCGGTTAAGCCTACCTAAAGGGTGAGTACTCCACGTCATGCTCCCTGTGAATAAACGCCTCACGATACACATTCTCTAATTAGACCCTCAAAGTAACACCCCAGGGAATGAGCTTTTTACCTCTCCTTTCTAAGTGAGGGCATGGAGGTCCAGGGAAGTGAAAGTGATCTGTCCAAAGTAACACAGCTAGCAGGTGGAGGGGCCAGGATGCAAACACGCCCGAGTGGACCCCAACCTGGTTCTCAAAACAACTGCCGCACACGTTAACGATCTCCCTAGAATCTGAGTAAGATCAGCATTAACACCAAGCATGACTTCACTCTTGATTCAGAAGGCACTAGCATCTTTCACAGCCGCCCAGATGTTGTTATGAACGTCAGTGATCGTTATTATAGCCTTGGCTCTGGAGCTACGCTGTCCAATACAGTAGGCGCTAGCCACGGGTCCCTTTTTAAATTTAGATTAAGTTAGGAATTCTGTTCCTCCCCAGCACAGCCACGTTTCGAGCACTCAGTGGCCACGTGCTGCTAGCGGCTACTGTACTTGGACAGGATGGATGGAGACCACTTCCATCACCGCAGAAAGTTCCTCTGGACAGACCACCTGTCAAGTAATACCGATGACAAGTTCCTTTTTTGACTCCATCTCTGCTGTCACCATCGTTTACACGCAATTCGTCAATCTTTGACGGGAGCACAGTGGAGAATGTGAACCGGCACGGCTCTGGCTACTGCGCTCTTATGCCACCTGGGGGGCCGCGCACGGAAGGGCGTGTGCCACGAGACCCCAACCCCGCCACATACCTAAATGGCATCGGATGCGGATGTTGGTGGGCCCGTAGTGCTCCGTTATCACAGTCCCGGGGCTCAGCACGGAGATGCATGCGTTCCCAAAAACATTGTTCCCAATACAGGTCCGAAGGCTTCCAAGCAAGCGGTACGTCCGTGGGCACTTCCTGCAGTTCCTGGGAACGCAAACCCCCTGATTGACCAAGTAAAAGGTTACCCACTCCCCGCTGGGGGTGCTGTTCATTTTCCATCCTTGCGGGAGGCTGCAGTTTGAGAACGCTTTGTAGAGGGTCTCAAACTCGCACAGGATGGTCTGGAAGTTCCGTTCCAGCAGTTCCACGTCATGCTTCTGGGCATCTCGGGAGAAGTAGGGCGTGGTGGGGAGGTCAGGCAGGAAGAAGACCTCGGGCTTCTGGATGGAGGGCCGGCTGTTGAGGTAGCGGCCCTGCTCGCGGATGCCCTTGTGGATGCGGCCCATGCCGGACCAGGAGTACCGCTTGGCGTACTCCTGCAGGTTGTGGTAGAGCTTCTGGTTGAGGCCCTCGTTGTGGGCACAGCGCACGCACTCGGGGGACTGGCAGTATACGAACCCGTTCTGCAGCCCGTTGGCGTCTGCACCCTGCATCAGGGCGTTGACGGATGCGTAGGGCCGGGGCTGCTCCCGGCCCACGTGGTAGCAGTACCACACGAACAGGACCAGCAGGCAGGCCACGGTGACCACAGCGGTGGTGTCACAGTCCCGCACCGACTGGATGCCCGTGGCGATGCAGTCCCTCAGGCCGTCCAGCGACCAGCTCCAGGCCACCAGCCACTCAAGCGACATCTTGAGGGAGTTGCTGTTGGGGGTGCGAAGCAAGGGCAGACAGTCACTCCTTGGGGGTCCCAAGGGCACCCACACCATGCAGTTCAACGTGGTGGGGAAGGGGAGGCTGGGGCCAGGGGAGGCATGGCTGCCACTGTTCCTCGGATCCCGCCGACGGTGGCATTGACCAACATCTGGCCCACCACTCTGCTCCCGGCAGAAGTCACCGCAGGTAGGGTGGGAGGAGCCTCTGTCACACCAGCAAGGGGGGGTCGGTCACCGTGAAATGATTTTCAAACCTGAGATGAAAACAGAAAAGGAAACTAGCATAAATTTTTCTACCTGGAAAAAAATCCTCAACTGAAATGTAAAACCCCAGATCATTGTTGAAGGTCCTCGTGAAGGCAGGGGATACACACATCTCAAGCTTGTGTGTTCTCATTTTAGCACAGCCCCCATTTCCCAAAAGGCCAGTGATGTGCAATCTGCATCCAGTACTGACAATTACACAAGCCCCACCTGTTCTGTGTCATCCTTAGGGGATGTTAACAGCCCCATTTTACGGGTGGGGAAACCGAGACCCCAAGAGGTCATATACTTCAGCCCAAGTTCATACAGCCAGGGCAGGGACACACACCCCTGCTGACTGCAGGGTGATGTCTATTCATAGGAGGCGTTTCATAATACCTGTTCTCCTTAACTCTCTGGATCTTTACAGAGAGATATGGATTCTAAAGCATCTTAAAAATGGCAAAGGAGGGGCATGTGGCTGGCTTAGTCAGGAGAGCATGCAACTCTTGGTCTGGGGGTCACGAGTTCGAGCCCCACGTTGTGCAGAGATTACTTAAAATAAATAGTTCCTAAAAATAGCAAAGGAGCCTTAAAACTGCACGTTCCCCATTTTACTTTCTCTTTTCATGATGCTTCCTCATTCTTAATCTCTCTTGCCCTTCTGACACAAGGGTTTAGCTCAAGCTGGAAGGGGAAGTGGTCTCTTGGGGGTCACATCCCATGGCAGACACCGGGTGTTTCTGTCTACCTGCCTGGGAGACTACTCACTGGTCTCGCCCACAGGTTAGGAGAGGAAGTGATGGGGGAGAATGGAAATAGAAGCCCTCATAGTTCCAGTCTCTGAAACATACAGGAGCACTTTGCCAGGTACCCCTGCCAATGGTAAGAGCCAGTGTCTGGCACCCTCGTTACCCTAAAAGCCTGATCAGAGCCCAGAAGTCACGTTGCCCGTGTCTATAAAGCCCCAGCTGTGTTTCCCAGCTGAGACCCTTCGTCCAGCCTGTGTGTTCTAATCTGAGCACAGCCAGGTCTACGATCTCCTACAAGCCTAATACATTCCCTCAGTGCGAGGGGCCGCATAGTTCAGAAAAAAATGGTTTTGTGTGCTACCTTCCCTCTTGGGAATAGAAATCAACTGAAACACAGGGAAGGCTGTCCCTTCTCCTTTCTCTGGGGACTAAATTTGGCTGGAAAATTCTTGTGAGGTGGCAGAGAGGCCAAGAACCCAAACTGGAGGTGGGCTGGACCCTGGATGAGTCACTTCCCCTCCATCTCAGTCTCCTTGTCTCTAAGAAGGGGTCCTGCCCATCTCCCTGGATGTAGGGCCAATGACGACCAATGTAAAACACTTAGGATGTCACAGTGAGCCTTTAAGATGTGCTGATGAGTGCTCAGACATGTGGCACCCCATGTGGATCAGCCTGCAAAGTAAAGGCGGGGCATCGGGGAAAGCCATCTCAGGACCAGGGACCCTACGGACAAATTCTGGACACTCTCATTGCCATGCACCTGAAGTGATTTTTGTTTGTCCCCAGACTTGCAGAGCTGAAAATGAAAGAGAAACCTTAGGTGCTCATTAACTGCCTGCTTGCATCTTCCCAGCTTAGGTTGAATTAAGCATCGCTTGCCTCTAATGTTTAGCAAGTCAAAAACACACACGCTAAATATTCCCGGCCGTTTTTATGTTTCTAGGAAAAATACAAGAGTGGGGAGGCTCGCAGCTCAATTCTTTTCTCGCACGTTCTCAATTTCTTCACAGATCTGGGCCCCCCGGCTGGAAACAGACCCCAGGGCACCCCTGGTTCTCTCCCAGCCATACCATAACAGGCACCTGATCCCTCTACAGGGAAAGGGAAAAGGAAAGAAAATCTGGGATGATTTTTCCCATGTTTTGTTTGCCAGCCTGTCTCCCAAATAGAACAGAACCCCGGGATTCCTGAAATTCAGTGTGAAGCTGTCATCTGTGTGATAAACAAGCACTTTTACTAAAAGGATTTCCCCCTCCCTGAGCTCAACCTCTAATTGGAACTTTTAAACTCAGCCTCTCAGGAGGAGAGGTTTTTCTTAAATGAGCAGCGAGATGGTGATAATTGAACAAACACCTGTTAAGTGTCAGTTCCCATCAGCCCTGCTAATCGCTCAACTAGAGCACAGTGAAAACCCGGAAGGCAGGGTGGATGACGAGGGGGATCTCTCCACTGGACACCCCTGCGGCTCACCCTCATCCCGGGGGAGGAAGCCTCATTCTGGACAATGTTAGCCAAGAGCGCTCTCTAGGCTGAAGTATAAACAAAAGGCAGCAAGAGATCCTGATGCCCTGAACCCAGCTTCAGACCCTGTTCTCATCAACAGCACTGAGAGCTGAAGTTAGGGCTTTTCTTACCTGCCAGTTACTTTTAGCCAAAAGACACTGGGAGGCCCCTGAGCCCAGAGGTGGATTTAAAGGTTCATGGCTGAAATGTGACGCTAAAAAAACAAAACAAAACAAAAAACAGGGATCCCTGGGTGGCGCAGCGGTTTGGCGCCTGCCTTTGGCCCGGGGCGCGATCCTGGAGACCCGGGATCGAATCCCACGTCGGGCTCCCGGTGCATGGAGCCTGCTTCTCTCTCTGCCTGTGTCTCCGCCTCTCTCTCTCTCTCTGTGACTATCATAAATAAATAAAAAATAATAAAAAAAATCAAAAAAAAAAAAACAAAACAAAAAACAAAAAACCCTTACATTTACAGGGTGATCGACAGCTTATTAAGTACTGTTTCAAACATTTGACCCTCCCAGCACCCAGTGACAGCCACCAACGCTCCAGTGGGAAGGGCATGGATTCTCCCTCTCCCCAGTTCCTGGCTCAGGGACTACAGTACCGTCCAGTTTCCTTCACACATCTGATCATTTGCATGCTTCATGTGTGTCCTCGTTAGGGACAGGGACCTGTCACTGCAGTTCTGCTCTTTAATAACTCCTATGGTAAAGGTCGGTCAGCTCTGGGGAATAGGGTCCAAATTCATGTCCAATGGGTTGAGCAAGTCCAATGAAATATAACTTCTGATGCGATGGAACATCTGGGGGACAGACTCCGCTCTAACCTGGCTAATGCCGTTCACCTTACAATCCAGGAGGCTGCCCAGTGCTAAGGAGCTTCTGGTCACTTTCAGGGTGTGGCCAGGGCGCCCTAGAAGCCCCCCCCCCCACCCCAACAGGAGCAGGGCGGACAGAGCAGGGCAAGGTGTGTGATGCAGGTCACCTTCTCCACCCAGGACCCACCGAACTGCCCTGGGGCCAGCCCTCCCCCGTGGGCAACTGGAGACCTCTCCTCCTCACTTTCTGGGCCAGCTTTTTCAGCATCCACCCACTCTGGAGAGTGGGGGAAGTGGGGGGCGGCGGATGGGTCAACACAGATGGTGACCACCAGGAGGTCAGGGGAGGGGGGGTCACGGAAAGGTGAATGCTGGCAGGAAAAGTGGGCAGGAGGCTAAAGATCTCGGGGAAGGTGGCTTATAGTGACGGCTCACGGGACAGGGGAGGAGGGCCACCGCGGCAAACCGGGAAGTGGGGGACACTCGGGGCCGGGGGAGGGGGCAGCAGGCGAGGACAGGCGGCGGGGAGGAGGGGCGCCGCGGTGGGCCGGGCTGCGAGGAGGGTGCTCCCGGCCCGCCGCCAGCTCGGAGCGAGCGCCCCGCCGCGGCGCCCCTCGCCGGGCCGGGATGCGGGGCGCGGGCGGGCGGGCGGGTGGGCGCCGGCGGCCCCGAGCATCCCCGAGCATCCCCGAGCATCCCCGAGCATCCCCAGCGGCCGCGCCGCCGCGGGGCGTGGAGCGTGGGGCGTGGGGCCCGCGGGCCTGCGGCCGTCCGGCCCCCGCCTCCTCCCTCCGTCCCTGTCCCCGGGGGTGCGGGGGGCGCCCGGCCGCGCAGTCCCCCACCGCGCCCCGCAGCCCCCGGGGACGCCGCTTACCTGCGCGCGGGCGGCGGGGGCGGACCGCGGGGCCGGGACGACGCCGCCGCCCGAGGGCGCGGACGCGCAGACGCCCCCCGCCCGCGCCGCGGGGCCACCGCCCGGCCCACGCCGCGGGAGCCGGAGCCGGAGCCGGAGCCGAGCGGAGCCGAGCGGAGCCGGCGCCCCCGCCGGTGCCGACGCCGCGCTGCGCTCCGCGGGGCCGCACGGACCACAACTCCCACAATGCCGCGCGCGGCCGGGCCGGCGCGGGGAGGGGGCGCGGGCGACGGGCGAGGCGGGGCCGGCGCGGGGGGCGGGGCGGCCGGGGGCGGGGCCAGGTCGGCCGGGGGCGGGGCCTGGACCCTGCGCGGAGGGCGCGGAGGGCGCGGGGGCGCGGGGGCGCGGGGGGCGCGGGCGGGCGTTCATTCATTCGCTCGGCGGCCCGCCCCGTGCCCCTGCCCCTGCCCCGCTCCCCCGGCCGCGTCCGCGCCTCGCGCTCTCCCACACTTCCTCCTCCCCTGCTCCTTCGCTCTCCCTCCCTCTCCTTTCCTCTCGCCCCGACACCCTCTTCCCTGTATTTACTGAGCCGCCGCCCGCTCGGGAGGCCGTTCGGGCACTCGGAATCAAACCGCAAATCGAACAGCATCCCTGGTGTCCTGGAGAACCCCCCTGCTCCAGACCAGCGAGCGTTGGGCGTTGGGCGTTGGGCGTTGGGCGTTGGGCGTTGGGCGGCCTCCCGTGCCTGGCCCCGGGCTCCCTGGGCGGCCGTGCCCACGAGGCCCCTGCCCGGGGAGCCGCAGCCTGGCCCGCGGCCCTGGGTGCCCGGGTCACCGCAGGGGCACACGCACCGTCACCTGGCGCGCGGAGTAGTCGACGCGAAGGTGCTGGGCGGGCGCGGGTGGAGGCCCCCCAGGGAGGCCTCGCTGAGGAAGGGATGCTGAAGCGGAGATAAGCTAGCAGTGGCCGCGGGACGTGGTAAGGGCTCCGGGGTTCAGTGCACGGGTGGGTTCTGGGAACTCAGGAGCAGGATGGCTGACCCACGATCCGTCTCATCTGTTCTGTCCCAGCATCTACTTTGCTCCTGTCCCAGCACCCACTTCAACCATGTCTCAGGATCTACCTCCCACACCTGTCCTAGAACCCACCTGGTCTCTGATCTAAGGACTCCCCTCCACCATGTCCCAGGATCCACCTCATCCTTGTCCCAGAACCCAGCTGGCCCCTGACCTAACAACTCACTCTACCACGTTCCAGAATCCTCCTTGTCCTTGCACCAGAACCCACCTCTACTGTGGCTCAGAATCCACATCTGCTGTGGTCCCGAACCCACCCCACCATGTTTTAGAATCCACTTCATCCCTGTCATCCTCTCCCTTGTCCTTACTCCAAAGGAGGAAGAACTGTTTTTCCCCCTCTCTTATTCTACTAAAATAAATGAAATGCATACATTGGGAAGCCATAAAATGCGTCCAGATTTGTTCAAAGTGTGGGTAATCAACACAGTCATCTGATTTAGAAACATTAAACAAGATGTCTCTTTTCACTGCCAGCCTCGCAGTGGTTGAACCCAGGGAGGGCGGAGAAAAGGTAGGAGGGCATTTGGTCCATCTCACATTCAGGAAGTTGCTCAAACTCAGACTTCTCCAAGGGTGCTTATACATTCAGTCAGAGCATCACCCTGATGGAGTTGAAAAGGAAAACATTCTTCATATAGTTGTAAATGTGTGTTCCATTCCTGGATCACACCATCTGTAGTGCATTATGAATTAATATTGTCTATAAATCCTGTAATTATCTTTGACCGGCGCAATTATACTGCTCTGTATTTGTTAAGAGTATTTATTTGTTCCCGATGGCAGTATGAGCGTTTACACATTTTGCTGACCCTGCTGGCCATTTCTGCCCGTGGGAGACAATTGGGATGGGAGGTGAGGTCTCCCAGAAAAAGGGTATCAGGCCTTCTTCCAGAGGGGGCTTTCGGATGAGAGCTCCAGATAAATTGTCATTGCGCTAATGGAGGAGACAAGATAAGGGCCAAGTGAGTCTAAATTGCCTGCCTCCTGCTTGGCTGCCACCCGCGCCCTCCTCCTCTCCCGACTGTCTCCTCAGGGCAGTCCTTTCCGACCCACTCTGAGGCTGTACAACCTATCATTATGCATCTCATACACCCATGGAGTCCACCCAACTCCCTCCTGCTGCAGATGGAGTCACTGGGGGTCCAGAGAGAAAATATGCCTTGCTCAATCAAGGTCACAGCAAGTCAGTAAGGGAATGTGTAGACCTTCAAGAAAATGCTTGCTTGGCGTGTTAAAGAAACTAGCATAGTCTTTGTAGAAAGAAATTGAGTAGTATTTGTTAAAACAACAACAAATGTGTATACCCTAAGAAAAATCAATTTAACTACTCTGGAGAAATTCTAGAATGGGTAAAGGAAGAGTGATGTTTTTATATTATATAATCCTGTGCAACTAATTAAAAGGAGGAGCCGGGGATCCCTGGGTGGCGCAGCGGTTTGGCGCCTGCCTTTGGCCCAAGGCGTGATCCTGGAGACCCCGGATCGAATCCCACGTCGGGCTCCCGGTACATGGAGCCTGCTTCTCCCTCTGCCTATGTCTCTGCCTCTTTCTCTCTCTCTCTCTCTCTCTCTCTGTGTGTGACTATCATAAAATAAATAAAAATTAAAAGGAGGAGCCGGATGTATATGCAACAATGTAAAGCTCCTAGGGGCCCCTGGCTGGTTCAGTCTGAAGCACATGCGACTCTTGGTCTCAGGGTTGTGAGTTTGAGCCCCACCTTAAATGTAGATATTACTTAAAAAAATTAAATCTTAGGGTGCCTGGGTGGCTCAGTCAGTTAAGCGTCTGCCTTCTGCTCGGGTAATGATCCCAGGGTGCTAGGATGGAGCCCTGCATCAGGCTTCCTGCTCAGTGGGGAGCCTGCTTCTCCATCTCCTGCTCCCCCTGCTTGTGCTCTCTGTCTCTCACTGTCAAATAAATAAGCAAATAAATAACTAAAAATCTTTTTAAAAATTAAATATATATATATATATCCTAAACAAATAATAGAGCAAAAAATCAGAATCATGCTTGTACTATCATTTTATCTACATAATACATACACACAACACAAAATGTTACTCTATAGTTTCTGTGGATATATACATATATGTATATAAAAGCAGGAGAAAAGCATTAGAAGAATACACTAGTATGTTCTCCTTTTTAAAATTTAAAGTATTACAATGTTGGCAAATGCAAAGAATATCCCTCAGAGGAAGCGCACAAAATTCATGAGTTGTAACTTCAGATGCCATTAAGAAGGAAAAAGAAATTAGGCACAGCGGACAAAAGGAACTCTGGCATTTTCTGGAATGTTGTAATTTGATTCAGTATTTTCAAAAGGATTTAAACACTCCTGGAACAAAATGCAAAAAGGATAAATCAGTTACTAGGAGTACCTCTCTCCCTTATCCCTCAACCACCCAGTTCCCTTTCCTTGAGACAATCAATTTAACCAATTTCTCAGGCATCCTTCCAGGAAAATGTTGTGCATTTGCAAACACTATACAGAAATACTTTAACTTTTGAAAAGGAAATATGAGTATATTATTAGTGATATTAAAAATGAATTTTTAAGGGTGGCTCAGTTGGTTAAGCATCTGTCTTTGGCTCAGGTCATGATCTCAGGCTCCTGGATTGAGCCCCATGAGT